TGCTGCGCGTGTTGCGGCTGCTTCTGCTCGCGTCGCTTCAGGCAGAGCCCAACGCGCTACTTCAGCAAGCCCTGGCTATGCAAACACTCGCCATTTCTGAGAAGGAGTTTAAAGAAAAACAAGGATGGACGAGTCCCTGGGAAGGTTTAAGGAGACTTCTGCATGTGCTTTTCCAACTGACGCTATGAGCCGAGGAACGCAACGTAACCTGCAAACTGGCCCTGACGGGGGAACCTCATGGTGGCGCGAGGCCACATGCCCGCAGTGGGGCTGCCGCGTGGCCGTGGGGCTGGAGCAGCTGCCCTGGGCCACCAGGGAACCCACCTCTCCTGGGCCTCTAAACGCGCGGATGTTTGGGCAGGAGCATCTGCTGCCCTACGCACATATTCCGAAACAAAATAAATATGTAAATCCAGTCCCTCCTACTTTGGAGCTGTTCTGAGGTATCTCTCATTACTCTGACGTATAGAAAGGTTAATAAATAGATCTGATTTTTTTTTCTGCTATGTCATTCTATAATACACTGCTATATAGATATTAAATATGCCTCGGGGTATTAAAAATTTTATGAAAAAGTTACAGTAGTTGATTTTCAAGTATTAATAACTTGGCTATGCTAGCTTGTTTTTAAATACGAAAATGGTCAAATTATAGACTAAACTCTGGCTATGCTTGAATTAAAAAAAATATATAAAAAAGTGCAAAAAAAAAAGAATTTGATGTCAGTTAACATTGTAACATTATAGGAACATCTAGTTTAGCATTCTCTTGTGAGTGAGTTAAACAAGGAAAAAGAGAATAAGGAAAAAAAACAGAGCTCCCAATCTGAGACAGCATTGCCCCAAATTTCAGCAGAATACTAAATTCTACAGCCAAGTTAGAAACCCCAGAAAAATGGGGTTAACAGTGGATATGCTGTCTGAATTATTATAGCAGTATTTGTGTTCTGTTATAATACAAATTTACATCGTACCCACCTTTTCTTCTGGGTAACCACAAAAGCAACTTTACAGGTATTCAGTTAAAATTAGAACCTCCCTTATTCCCCATCCTCCCCATAACCTGTGCGACTGTGTCTAATACTAAAATTCACGGCTACGAAGCATCATACATTCAAGATAGAAAGTAAACTAGGAAAACCTGCTGAGGAGACACGCGGGAGCGCCCGGGCCCGGAGAGCGGAGCAGCGCTAGGGAGCGTCGCCGCCGGCGCCTCCTTCCCAAGGTCACGGGTGCCATAAGGCCTCCCCAGGCTGAGCCCCGGTCTCGGAGCAACACGGAATGGCTGAAGGAAGATCGCTCAGAGCCAGGTCGCTCGCTCTGGGCAGGTACTGCCAATATGACTTACTGCTTGCTACTGTGCTGACACTGACCCCTTGTTAGATTTGGTTCTCCTTTAAACACGTTTCAGCTCGTCTCCTGAAAAATGACTCAAAGAATGGTTAAAAAAAGACTGAAAGCAAGAAAAGGCTTTCTAGCTTCAAAGCACGCATACAAAAGAGGCAACGATTTCAAACTATAGTTTTTCTTCCAGTGCGAGGAGCTGACCCGTCGCATGTCGCTCTGTACAGGTACCAAGACAGCATTCTGCACCTCTGGAAACCCTCGGAGCAGGAAATCCGCAGGACCGAGCTAATGCGAATTCAAGCCTGTTAGGTGGAAGGAAGCAACGGAATGGTGATCCAGTCTCAGGGACCTTGCTCATGGATAATGACCTCGTGAAGCCAAAAGCAAACCAAAAGGCACAAGGCTCAGATCTCATTGATAGTTCGTTCAGACGGGCAGTACTCGGAGGTCCCCGGCGAGGACATGTAGAAAGACTGTGTCTTCCTTTTTAACCTGGCGCGCCTGTTGGCCAGCGAGAGGCTGCGCCGGCTCGAATTGATGATTTCTGAAATAAACTTCTTGCAGTCCACACACACCTCCATTGTGCTCCAGTCCTCCATCAATTCTTTGGGAAACTGTAGCTCTTCATGTGACCTATCCACAGATTTGGACCTTGAGGCCAACCTGAAAGGTGAAAGACCCATCTCATTATTTACCACCGTGCTGCTGGGCCCCAGGCAGACCTGCTAGAAATGCAAGGTGGAACAGTCTTGACTCAAACCTTGTTTCTCCCTGCCTCAAAAATGACCCAAGGAGACCAAGCAGCAGAGAGGGCAAATCTCACCTGGTTCAGTAAGATTGCAGAGTGACTAAATGAAGGCAGATGTAAAGTTTAACGTAGCCAAACTAATCTTATTAAAAAATACATATTGATGATGTAGCTGTCTAATTTTGACACAAAATCATAGCACAAGTGATTTATGCAGAGAGTTCTGAACAGAGGAGTATAGGAACTATACATCCTCTTAATAAAAGTGATCCTTTATATAAAATTTCTGGGATTACTGTTGAAAACCATCTGTGTAAATATGGTAGAAAACCAACCTTTCCCTTTGATGGAAGGAAAATGAAAAAAAAATTTGCTAGAAGATAAATTTGTGCAAGACATTCAACTGAATTCCCCTTCAGTTACTGTTTCCAGGATGTGAGACTTATCTCCTTAAGAGTCTAAGTATTCTCTCCCCTGAGAATACTTAAGAGGTATTTTTAGAGTTACTATAGGAATTCACTTGTCCTAGTCTCATGCTAACTTTTCACCTGTAGTGTGAAAAAGGCTGAAGTCACACTGTTAATATTACCCTTTATGAAAATGAATAAGTAAATGGAAGAGACTTTTTTTTTCAGTCTTCATAAAGGTTATTGGAAGTATTATAAACACAAAAAACTACAAAACAGGTAGACAGACTCTTCTTAGTGATTGACAACTTGAGATGAAATGCTTAGGAATTATTTCCAAAAGAAAGACAGGAGCTACAGACGCTTCTCACCTGGGCATGCTCCGCAGGGACCGGTGGTGACTGGTGGAGGGTTTCTCCGGCCTCATGAAGCTCTCTCCTCTCTGCAAGGTTGATGGTCCCAGTGAGAAGATGGGGAGGGTGGAATATGGCTTTGATGGCAGTCGCATCTGTCATGAGAACAGACAAAGGAAGGTGTGAAGCATCAGTGCCAAAGATTACGGATTTTTAAGAAAGGGCAAACTATATATTTATTTACTTACTTTTTTGCAACACTGTGAGCATACAGGCCTGTGTAGAAAAGTGACAGTATGAGTTATCCTACCGGCAAAAATTATATTTAAATCAAGAATAAGAGAAGAATGCTTTCAAGGGTTAAAATCCTGCTCCATCCCATTAAAAAGGAATTTTTATTTTTAAAGCTTCTTGAAAATACTAACTGAAGAAGATAAAAGGGCTAAACAATATAACAGCTGAAACAAAACAGGGGAAACAAAGTAACCCTTTTTTCTCTAAGGGAACATCCCTTGGTAAGTGACACAAAACATCAGTGATTCCACACATCTCCAGACTTACTGTCTCACTTCTTCACTTCTTAAAATTTTTCATTTTGGCAGTAAAATATTCATTACTTTTCCCCCCACGCTCCAGTTCCCTAAAAATAACCCAAAATGCAACATATGCATTTGTCTTGAAAAAAAATCCCCACCAATAGGAAAATTTTATAATTGTTGGTGGGGGAGTCTGAATAAAATCCACCTTACCCTCCCATTAGCACACACACAAAACAAGAAGAAATTAGTGTTTCTCTCACTTTTACCAAAGAATTTCAATTTAAGGAAGTAGGTCTGCACTCAAATGGGAACAGTTTTTAGCTATCTATTTTTGTAACCTTGTCTGTAATTACGTAAACAAAAGAACAATAAATACTTTGCAGCAGAATTACTGGAAGGCTTCTAATGTACAAATCTTCTTTATATTTCACTCTGAAATAGTACTTAATTATTATCAGATATCGAATATTTACCTCTTACAGAACTGACAAGTGTAAGACCAGGTAAAGAAGGAAAACCTTCTTGTTCGACAGCAAAAGCAGAGCTGAAAGAAGAACAGAGGAGTTCACAATTTTAGACCAGAAGTCCTGCACAGTGATGAGTTCATCTATCTGTAAGATTCCAGCTGCAGCACTCCACCCAGTGCTGTAGCCCACTCTTCCAAGAGGATATTGAAAGGAATAATCCAGAATTTTATCTTGACATACTTAGAAATATTCTTTTATTTTCTAATCTAATTCAAATAGTTACTTATTTTTACTCCTCCGACACTGGTGTTTATAGCATTGGTGTAGAAAAAAATAGCAGCAAAGTAGGAGTAACGGCAGCAAATAACTACTAGAATTGAGAAACACAAGAACAAAGGGGCTTAAGTTCAGCCATGAATAAATTTGGGCTGGAAACTGGACTGGTTCTGGCAAATCAACTGGCAACTGCCTGTGGTGATGTTTGATGATTTTCTTCTAGTCCCACGTTCTTGAAAACTAGAGAAGGTCCAGGAAAACACTATACTAGCAACCTTACTTAAGGAAAATCCTATTTTACAGAGAGATGACAAACCCAGTCTATTTAGTTTATCCAGAGGAGTAAGTATCACAGCTTAACAACATCTGCGTGAAGCAAAGGCCATGGACAATGAAGGATGTTTTAATGAAGTGCCGGATGACACACTGGGATCTAAAGACAGGGAGATGAGACTAGACAAATTTGTTTAGAAATAAAAATGAAAATGTTAATAGCAGGAGTTAATTAAACAAAGCATTTGCTTCTCCTGGAATTTAATAAAACCTCATTATTAAGTTTTATAGACCATGACAATATGCAATGGCTGAATTTAATGACTTTTAGGATTCTGGTTCCCTCTGCTCTAAAAATATTAAAGCTACTAAATAAATCTACACACATTAGACACACAATTCTATAGCTAAAATATATTTTAAAGGCAAAACATATTTGTTGGTGTTCAAGAAGCACAAGTCAAAATAGGAGGAAAAGGACACTGCTTCTATTGGCAAACACCAATTACAAGTCTGCAGTTCGCAGAAAAAAACATTAGTCACTGTGTTTTCTAACATTAAACCTTCTTCTCAGGTCACATGTTGCCTGACTTCTCTTGAAGGTTCTCATTCCCCCTTTGCTTGATAAACATACCTCTGAACATCACAGCTTTAATTATGAATTAACACATCTTCAGATACCAGGGTGAAACACTTCTGCTCATTTCATGATGCAGAAAAAAACAAATGAAAAAAAACACACAATTCACAGACAGAAATCAGTAGATGCAAGCAGCAAAAGCTGTTGGAGACTATATTTAAAAGGGAACTAAATTGAAAGGGGAATTATTCCTCTTACTGAGGAAAGTTTTCACAGCCAGGAATGGAAAGAGGTCAGTGGCCAATTTACAGAATATTACCGAGATTCTGGTTCACAAAAATGTCTGCAAGAAATCAGATTTGGGACTTACATTTAAGATTCTTTTGGCTTGCAGGTACTTGCAGTTCTCTAGAGTGCATTTAAAGCCCTTCAAAAACGCCACTGCAAAGCTCCAAGTGCTGGTTAGCACAGTGCATCCTGCCTGCAGGCTCCTCTGCCTCCGAGATGTGTAACCCGAACACGTCTCAAAGACTGAACAGCAGCTCACTTGCTTAGGCTCTAAAAGCTGGAAGATGGAAGCCAGGCATGGACAGAAAAAAAAATCTTTAACCAGACATCGCTAGGTTCAGTAACAGAAAAGAAAATTTTGTATGGGGTCACACAGAATGTAACTGTGGTCCTACTTTAGAAATGGGAAACAAGCCGGGAAGTGGGGAAGTGTCTGTTGATTTTGGGGAAGGAAAGGATTCATACTGAAAAAGCTGCTGCAATTTCCTCCTGCTAGTTGTAATTCTGAATAAAAATGCTGAGCAGTAATACTGCAGAAGGCGTGGGGACTGAAAACACTTCAGTCAGCGAACACTCAAACAAGCACGCACGGATCCGCTCGGATTGCTGCAAACACTGCTGCATTTTTATACATGATCTAAACAAATCAGCTGTTTCTACATAAAGCTTCGATGTGTTCAGCATACAGGTTAAAGGGGCTGCTCTGTACGTCTCACGTGCAGGACTGTGGCCCCGGGGAGCCATGGTGGGTGGCTGCAGAGGCTGGGGAGCCCCGCAGGTGACGCATACCTTGCCCTTCTTGAGAGCCGTGTAGACGTCTTTGTACTGCTGGTACTTCTCGAGCTCTGCCTTCACCAGCACCTGGCGGATGTGCATGACCTCCTCCACCGTCAGAGCGAGACACTCCACGGGGTAGCAGAACTCCTCCTGGAAGCCAAGGAGAACGTGTTACTTGGAGGCCAAAGCACTTCCTCCTGGACTTCAACCTGGAATGCCAGCCACCTGGTTAGTCACTCCAGAAATGGGGGGTTCAAAAAAGAGCGTTGGCGCACTCATGGGCATCACGTGAGTGTCCAGCCAGCCAAGGCTGCGTGACTTTGATCCAAGCTCATGTTCAATTAGAGCTTTCTTCTTTTTTCCTCCTCCAATCACCCATCACTTGGCCCTTCCCTCTATTTGCTTGGTTTGAAGATCCGTTTTAACCAATTAACCTCCAGGTTCACAGTTTGAAGGGAAAGGGCAATTTGGTACATGGTCTTGCTTAGGAGTCTTCTGTGTGAAGGGGAGCAATTTCTCTCAGACTTTGTGGTGCCCAGAGTGGCCAGGGAAAGTGGTTAGTTGCCCCTTCTAGCAGGTGTTTTTATTCAGTGGTACCACATGTTGGTGCACACATAATCAGTACCCCGCCGAACCACAGAAACGCATTGCGGCCAAGGCAGAAAGGTCTCCTTTCTTCCACCAGGACCATAACAGGGGCAATTTCTGCTTTACAGAGTAATCTTCAAATACAAAGAATGAGAATTGGTTATCTATTAATGGAAAAAAAAACCACAGGCCAATTATGCAACCCCATAAAATTTCCATACTTTTTGTACTGCAGCATTTGGGAGAACACTGGCTCCAGAACTCCTGGTTTTGGTACCACAGAATAGAAATCATCCCCCCAATTTGTAATCCAGCCCTGTAGTTGATTACACAGGTCTAACAGAAAGACAGAAACCTCAGTGGGAACTCCCAGCGCTTCACACTTCGTGAACCTTTTCAGCGAGCCCAGAGGGGCTCCAGTGCCGAGCAGGGAACAGGCAGGGCGCTGCATACACCAAGGACGTGCCTCCCGCAAACACAAAGGCCTGGCTGCCCTTTAGAGATCTCCTTTAGAAATCAATGATTTAGATTAGCTCGGAAATGCTCAATTTGCATGAACTGAGAGTTCCTTTCTGTCTTTCCATTAGATTTCAAAGAAAATCTTTCTACGTTGCAGACCTGGCAAACATTAGCATTTAGGAACCACCACACTTTTAAAAACTGTTGTCTTACCTATCTAGAAAGGGAACACAAAGCAACTTCACTCTGTTAAAGTACCCCACAAAAGACTAGAATTGAGGTCACTTGGTTAGACTCGCCAAGCTAAAGCTTTGGGGCAGGGACCCTCGCTAGGCTGCTGGAAAGAAAAGAGACTGTCAGGAGCAGCGGCCCTCGCGTGCGTGGCCGTGCCGGGCTCCGCGGGGCAGCTCCCTCGCTCCGCGGCGGCTCTCGGCACCTCATCGGGAAAGCGCCGGGGACGGCAGAGCCGCTCGCTCCTGCGAGGCCCTCGCCAAGCTGCCGCCACGCTCGTAACCGGTCAGAGCTGCGAGTCCTTGGGAAAAACACTTCTGAGGTGGGGGCACGGCCTTCCCCCGGGGGCTCCTTCCCCCTGGGGGCCCAGGGCCCGGCGAGCGCGGCTCCGCGGGACACGTCGCGGGCTGCCGGCGCTCCGTGGGAGCCGTGGGAAGCGCCCGTGGCCCACAGCAAACACAAAGAGCCGGCCAGCAACGGCGGGGGGAAACATAGAAAATGTTCACGTGTTTAAATGCTAATGTTTTAATTCCAGAGGTTACACAAGGACAACAAAATGTTAATGCAACATTAAATAAAAGAGAAATATTATGCTGATTTTGGAAAACCGCTTGATTTTTTTTTTCTTTCTTTTTCAGAATAGAAATAAGTACACGAGAAAATCTTCAGGTTTAGCTTTGAGGCACTTAAATTAATCTAAATTAAGCTAAGCACTGACTAAACTTCATTAAATAGTGATGCTTGGGAGTTATTGCTCAAACCTCCAGCAATCATCTACACCCAGGCTAGGCAGCTCCAAGTGTGAGAACATAGGTTCTCATACAACATAACATATTAAAGACAAATCATGGCTTGAATGGTCTTGATTTTCTGGAATTGTACTCAATATTTATTCTAATATGAAAGATAATTCAGTGTTCTCATTTTTAAAGGAAAATATTATTAAAAAAATACTTTTCTGAAATTTCCATAATCCTCATGAGAATCTCTTTAACACTGACTTTGAAATCCTTATATATATATATATATACATATATATATATATATGCACACCATAAGAGCTTAAGGTCAATGTATAGAGCTCCTTCTTTTTACTCAGGAAAAACAGGCACTAAATACTATATATCCATAGTGTGAAATGAAGTGCTTTGTAGGTCACTTTCAGCATACACTCACCTAATATGTCCCTATGACCAACACATTTTCACACTAATACATCCCTTGCAAAACCGCTCATTAGAGGATGACACTCAGCATTCAGAGGAGCTGCTCAAGTAGAGAGTAATACAAACTAATGCTGGCTTGGCCACCAAACTCTGCAATTCACAATTAGTCAGGCACTCTAAACTCATGTTTTGCAGATGAAAATTTTCTAAAAAGTAAGCCGGAGAGCTGAACTATAACGCCTCCTGCAACAGGTTTCACACTTCCAGTTTTTGGTTGGGACAAGGGAAAAAAAAGAGGAAAAAGTATCCATGTGAGGTAGGGATTAAAGAATCTTTTTTTTTTTTTTCTTTAAATAGATTTGCCTCCTCAGGTACATAGCTATTGATTATTCTACAAGTTCTGATAAGAACATATACTGAGGAATGAAACCATACTTAGGTTTCGGATAAAAAGGCAGCAAACGCCCTTCCATTCTACATGCTATATCTTGTCAGAACCACAAAAGCTTAATCTTTTTAACACAGTCCACAGATTATAACAATTCTGCTGGATTTTTGCTGCAGGATCTTCACGTGCTATACCATTGATAATGTTGGGATGTTGCATTTTTAGTTTGCTGTCCTTTCAGAACTGATTTCCTTTCCCCGTGAGGTGATTGAAGACACACATAAATATTCTACACACACCGAAATCAATGTCAATCAGGTGCAATGTCCCAGCCTAAGCTTTAATTCTCGCCACAGCTTAGGAAGTGCGCTCCCCCAAGAGGGAACATGCTGGTGAAGGTGATTTCAAAGCCAGCAAAAAGAGGCAAACCTTGGCGGGTTTCCACCTGCTGGCAAAAGCTCTCTCACAGAGATAGTACATAGCCCCTGCCACCCCGCACATGACCGCTTCAACGGGATGAGAGCTGAGCAGAGAAGCTGTTTGCATAGTTGAAAAAAGTGGTCTGAAAGTCATCCTTGGAAATAAACTGGTTATCCTAGGAACCTGAACAACAGACAGGAAGCAGAGAAGCGAACGCTGTGTGTAAATGAAACCATTAACGTTGGTCCTTTGGATCAGGAAAATAATGATAACAACCATCACCACCATCATAATCATTATTATTTAAAAAGCAAACAAACTGCAAAGGAATTCCTGCGCACATGTCGAGACCCCGGGTTCATCTCCCTGACTGAACACCGTGTTGGCCCTCAGGGTGAGCGCATCCTGAAGAGCAGCACTGCGCTGCCCGACGCGCTCGCGCCTTCCCGCCCGGCGCTCGCAGGGTAACGCAGCAAAGGACTGAGGGCTGCCTGGCGTCTCCCCACGCTTGTTTCCCCTCCCCACCTGCTTCGCTCTAGTCCCCTCTGCCTGAGGAGATGCCAGGTGACACAACCGCAGTTAGCAGGCAAGGCAGGCCAGCGTCCTGCTAGTCCTGCTACGAGACTGTAGCCATGTCCTGCCTGATTGCAGTGGCACTGAGGGCTGACTACTCATTGACGAGGCCTCTTTCACCTTGAAGAGAAACTGCAGCCACGGGAGCAGATGATAAGAAATGAAACTCCATCAATCCTGGAGGAAGGGACGAAGAAGTGTAAAATCAAACAAAAAGCAAATAATATTCTGCACTCATTTCAAAGTGTTCGCTCAGGGACCTGCAGGGCTATGGAGGCAGCGCCTGGCACAGCCTCCGGAAGGGACGGGCGTCCTGGGGGAGGCAGAGATGCTGCAGCAGGGCCAGGTGTGCAGCCGGCCCCGTGCCAGCGCATCAGAAACCGTCCGCTAAAACCAGAACCACCCGGCGCACGGGGGAGCTGCCTGCACACCCTAGAGGGCACCACTGCCAAGATGAAGAACTCGCTCTCTAGGCAGCAAATAAACCGGCGTCTTCTATCACAACGAACATCATTTCACTGATGATTTTCCTTGTTTGTCACTTCCTGGCCAAAACCAAATTAGGTGGCAGCTCTGAAGCAAAAATACAAAAAATAAAACAAAAACAAAAAACCTAAACAACCAAAACAAAACAAAAAATCTCTAGCAAAACCTGTCCCATCTGTTCTAAAACATTAAGCAACATAGCTCGAGAATACTGCAGATGTTGTTCTGCCACATTTGGCTGATTTAGCTAATGACTTTTTTTTTCCCCCTTGCCTTTAATATTTTTTATGGGGGAGTGGAATAATTGAGCACATGTCTTCTGCAACAGTTTTACTTCGTACATAGCTTTCTAGGCCCATGCTAGTAAATAGGCTAACAGAAGAAAAACACAGATGTGGTCGAAAGGGTCCTGTTAAAATTTTGCTTAGCTGTTTAAAATAATGGCTTCATGTATTAGATCTTTAAGCTCCTTAATCCACTCAAATACATGAGATGACAGCGATGTCAAGATGTTGACATTTTTATGTACATTCAATACGTGAAACAGTAAATGCCTTGGTGTGACATACAGAGCTTTTGCCCCTCCTCCCTTTAAATAATGTGTCTGTGAATGACCATGGCCCCTGTGAGAAAATAAATCTGGTGCTTCCACATACACAGAGTGCTGCAGGTGATGACAGAGCAATCCACTTTGTACCGATAACGTCTTCAAGCACATGAAGGAGCCCTCCAGCAGCACATTATGCTCCAAGTTAACATTTGCAGAGCAATTCTACTCGTGCTTGCACTTAGCAACATGCTGCAACCCGCCCTTCACCTGGAATAGGAACCTATATTCTAGGTGGAAAGATGTAATAAATGAAATCCACTAGAATCTTGGAGGAAATAAGTTGTGAGAGCATTTGGAGATGATTTTCTTACAGTTGAACTTCATCATCTAATAGGTTTGGATGTGGGCCACCATTTCCTGGGCCACCAAGAACCCTCTTCAGAGCCCATTAATGCCACTGCACCAAACCAGGGGGCAAATGAATATTGCCTTTCTTTCAAAAGGTCAATGTTCTTATCGATTTCTCTGTTCACCAGCACCTCACAGGGCATACTTGGAAACCTTGCTGGTAGGAAAAGAGACAAGGAACATATCCTGCATGAAAGGACAAAGCACTAATCAGTGTGTTGGCATAGAAGAACCAGGATTTCATACTCTTTGCCACTTACACTCTGTTGGAAAACAGCTCTCAATTAAAGCTAATTGATCAAATGTGCTGTACTTTCTTTTCAAGTTGCAGTACAGTTTTTTTGCCTGGGTGACTTAACAAAGCAGCAGAGTGGAACCTTGATTTGGACTCCTGAAAGAGCTTTCACATGTATAAACACTAACCACACAGGTTCTTAAGGTGGGAAGAAAAGAAGCCATTCCATTCATTAGTTCATCCATTAATTAAAACATTTCTAACAACTGAAAAACAAAATAGATCGACTGCTTTGGAATCATCTCTATTCAAATGGAAATTCAGTTACTTGAAGCACTCTGTTTTGGTAACATTTTGAAATAAAAGCAAGGTATGTGGCCTTACCCACATAGTCCTAATTGCAGTGCAAATGTTTTCTGAGGCACCTGCAGCTGGGATTTTGGATCAATATGCTAGAAAAAAAAGTTCAAATCTTGATTTCAAAAAGTCCTTAGTAGCCAAGGGTTGCTTGTGAACTGAGGAGTTTTCTCTGTGTCAAGTTCTAATCACACTGCAGCCAAGTTTTAATTTTCATTAGACTGTTAGCATGCCTCTTTTTCTCTCTCCTACCACCCACTCCACTTACGAGTGATCTGGAGCTCTGCTTTGAAGGTGGTAGGAACTGTCTCACATTGGTTGGTGTTTCCTTTTCAATGGAGTGTCGTCTCTGAGGTGGCTGCCGTCTCTCCGGCTGCGGCGTAGATGATATTGGCAGAAACTTTGGAGGCACTAAAGATTAAACCAGGAGAAATAATTGGCTCTCATAAGAAAGACCATTGGATAACATTCTTCTGAACTTACAACAGTCATCGGTTTTTGATATAATTCCTTCTACTGGTGGCTGAAGTCACGTGTGCGCTCGCACAGACATACAGCATTTTCAGTACAGTTCATTAGATGGATCACATTTTCAAGGCTGAGTGAACAGGAATACTCATAAAAACATATACTCATGTAAGAAAATATGCTACTCCCAGCATATAAGCTACTTCCAGTCACTATGTAGCATTGCTTCATTCAGCCTATTGGCCTATCCAACTTACTCACCATGGGGCATAGAAAATACAGAACCAGATTACACATTTCAGGAGAAAAGCTTTTCCAATGAAACAGTTAAAAAAAAAAAAACACTGTTGTTACACAGTAACACCTGCAATAACTGTACCTGAAGGAAAGATTACAGATCCTGTCCTCTATCCAGTCAGTACCTTTCTTGTCAGGAACACCAGTGAGTGCTAGTGTCTTTCAAACAAGTACACCCACTGAAATGCTGGCAAAGGTGCAAGGAATGAGTCTGAGGGTAAAAATGTGTTTCTGCAGCAAGAAAGCCTTTGATGAGCACAGCCAAACTACCCCTGCTCACTAACCTGACTTCCTGTGCAGTTCCACATCAAATTCAGATTCCAGCTGTTTTCTTTAGACTTGCTATAGTGTTGGCCTGAAGCCTATGTAAGGCTGCCTCTGATATAAAGACATCACAGCAACACTCCTTGGTGCTGTCAATTCGCTAAATAAGCCTGAAGCTCAGCTATGCCAAACAGGAATTTTTGCAAATACTGGTGTAAGGACCTGGTCTGTCTCCACCTTGCCCCGGGCACTGAAGATCACAAATAAATAACAGCGGATACATTAAAGAATGTTACCTCATTTCCTCTGTATGGCCTAAATGAAACTTTTTGGCTCAAAACAACAGAAAATTAAAGTGGAAATATATTTTCTTGTGTTGGCTGACCACTTCCTCTCTTTCTAGCTGGAAGCCAAAGGAATCACAAAGCACATGAAGTGCTGTTAATCAGAGGCATAAACATTTGGCTGAAAAGGAAGTACGCATTTTTTTCTGATTTTGCTGGTAAACTGAAAATAAATAAGGGGCTACTGGAGTTTATACTGCTGTAAAATTGTCTTTGTGAGTTAAATGAGCTAATGTCATTGTAGGCCAAAATTAAGAACTGATCTTTTATTTCCAATAAACTGTGTCAAGAAAACGCATCTTCACGCTCTCCTGCAAATTCTAGGAGAAAAATGCTGTTTAGTACAAAAACGTTTTAACAATATTTTTCTAGTTTTAAGATACCTTTTGAAACCTTCTGTTTCATGAAGATATCCCATATTGGGCAGAACAGGCTAATGCCTTCCAGCCATTAATCAGACTTGCCCTATTCAGCAGGCTAGAGGGCTGCTGAATAAGCTTTGCAGGGTTATTCCAGTAACACTGCTGAGCTTGAAGCTTGAGCCTTCTACAAAAGAGTCTGAGACAAAGTTCATAAAACAGAAGCCAAAAGAAGAAGGAGAAAGCAGCTAGTGTGCTCTCCTCTAATCAGACTCACTCTTTCTGCTGCTGGTGCCTTCCTGAAAGGGGTCTTCCATCTGGGAGGGGGAAATGCTGCTGCTGCTTGCTGATTTGTGCACTGACTCCTCCTGGATGGAAACAAGAAGAAAGAAAAACTTCCTCAGAGATTTTTTTTTTGTCATATATGCTTCTTATCACGCAGAAATCACAATCTATCAAAGACATATTACACCCTGAAATCACCCAAAATCCTAGAAAAAATGTTTGAGAAAAAATGTTGGCAGCACTGAGTAGACAGAATTTTCTAAGCCCAACTTTTTCAGAAACTGCATAAATAGTATCTGGTTGGAATTCAGTGTATTAAATATTATTCTAAAAGAATCTGATCAGAAAAGCAGTGTAAAGCAGAAGTCCACTGTAACCTGTTGCTTTTCCTCAAGTAATTGCTTATGGTATTCAGGACCTTCTAAGGATTTGTAGCTACAATCTCAGACTAGCAAGGAATCAGCACTTGGGCTTCTTTGGAGTGAGACCTACTCCTATATACAGGTGACTCGGGTAAAGGGAAATTAATCAGATCTCCACTGCAATGTTCTTTAATCCCTAATCCTGCTGCGTTTCTCCTCCTTCCTTTGATATCTTAAAGCGATCATCTTATTCATTACCCAAGTACATTTCATGACAGCAGCCAACAGCAATTTCGGCAAGATGAACAAAAATGAAACAGGCCTGGGCTAACACCTTGCAGCTATTGAAGGGTTGAGCCACCCAAAACATCAAATCTCTTGTCTTCAGCCACCAGACATAAGCAAGGTGTGGGGCACCGCCGGAGCCTCCCAAAGGAAGGGAGCGGAAGGACAGACGGGGAAGACTAGTTAGCACTAATGGGAGTGCTTTTAACCAAAGACATTTGCATCGTTGGAGTTGTCAGGTTTAACAGATCCAACAAGGGATCTGCTCTAGCAGCCAGTCAAGAGCTGTCACAGTCTTCTCTAGTTATACCAATCGCAAGTAGGAAAATCTCCACTAACCAAAATATTTCCTTCTTGGGTCAGAGAAAAGCTGGAAAGAAAAGCTGACAGGATCACGTCCGTGAACAGCACGCAGCACAGGACAGGCCCTTACAATGTGCCTAATGCTGAGCCCGAGGACAGGCTCTGTGCTCCACATTGTGCCCGTCGATACACCAAAAACCAGCATTACCCCGAGACTCCATCCAGCCCCAACCCCAAACGATACATTCACCTGCAAGGATGCAGCATCACCTGCAAAACAGGCGCGACGAGAAACTGGGAGAGGGAAAATCTGAGCAGTGCATTTAGCTGTACTGCCTTATAGAGGCCAGCGAGAGCTATTCAGAGCTGGCTCAGGGGTCTTTACCTACCACTGCCCCAAAGCCCCTGGGCGCCTGTGAGGAACGTGGACGGGCCGAGTGGTCACAGCGATGCCGAAGGGCTGACGGGCCGGGGGCGACACACTCACACTTTGTGGAGCAGAATCACCCACGAACCCCTCTAAAGCAAACCCTTCACTTGGCACAAGGAAAGTTTTTGCTGAGTTAAAGATTATTTTTCCCTTGTCAAAGGAGCTAAGAAGTAAAATGAAGAACTATGTGCTCCTACCATCAGTTAAGAAAATAACCGTGTGGCCACGCTTCTCATGTTTACAAATAAAAGCAGCGGGTGTTTCAGGGCAGGCTTGCTGGGCTGGGGGATGGCTGGCTTTGGGTATGGTCCAGGCACCCCTTGTTCTACAGAGGCCTCTCATTCTGGTGGAACATATCTAGTTCTAACCACTATGGTAGAAAATACGACATTTTACAGCCAAGGTTGCATCAACTCAACATCCCAGACTGCAGACTTCTGCGTAGAGCCAATTAAGCTTTTTTCTTGTACTGAGAAAGCTGCAGCTTCAAAGGCACCATTTCAAAGCATGTGAATGTGCTACTCTGATTTTCATCCATAATTACCCCTGGCTTCCTTAGGAAGATACATTTTTTATAGCTGTATTAAGAATGGGTATTAGATTGCCACTTCTCTTAGCCACACGGGACAAGATGGTACGTCCTGCTTCCCTTCTGAAACCGTGACTGGCAATGCAGAAAAAGGTCAGGAAGAGGGTAGAAACTGCTTGTGCAATATTCGGCCTTGCAAGCAGACGGGCACAGGGGAGTACCAAACCTTTCCCTTGCCTGCAACAGGGTGTAATACATTCACCTGCATTCTCAAAAGCATCATTTGCTATATAAGCACTGCAGATAGACACTGGGCATTTAGAAAAATAAGTAAATACTGGACTTAAGGTCAAATCCATCATTAACATGAACTGGACCTTTGGCCCCAGTACTGGGTGCTGGGGCGTAGTCGGCATCGCAGCACAGGCGAGACAAGAACAAAGGGGAAGCAGGGGAGAAACAAGCGTCCCAGCTCGTTTGGAGGGCTGCAACCTGTAATTTAGGGCACAACACAGTCGTAATTTAACTGCCAGTGAGTAACTCTAAATAGGCTAAGCTCAATTCAAGTTGCAAGCAGAGGGGCGGCCGACTTGTTCATCGGCGATCAAGACAACACAACACGTGTGTGTGTATTAGGGACAAGGTAAAAGTCAGAAAATAAACAAGACATTTTGACAAGTGCAGTCTTAGCTTTCTTCCAAGGATTGGTGTCCCAGCCTCCTCGCCAGCTTGGAAAATTTCATCCGAAATCCCTCCAGTTTGTTTATTTACACTGCTTTAGCAGTGTGTGTTTGAGCCCCAGTCAGTACTCTGCTGGGCATTTTAATCATCTTAACTGCTTCACTAGCTACTCCTGTTAACTCAGACTAATACAGCATCTGTTATTGGTGACAGCCCTATGCGGTTGATTTATTTTCAATTTATCTTTTGCCTATGCCCCAAAGCTTTCTCTGTGCAACTCTGCCTATACAGTAGTCTTCAATCGATAATCATAGTCACACAGTTTATTTCTTCTTCCTTGAAGGATCACTTCACATTTCCCTTCACAGAATTTCTTTCTATTGATTTCTGCTCATTTTTCCACATCAAAAATCATGTTTCATTAGCTCTGGGATGCCCTGAGCTACCAGCTGGGAAGCTATGAGTTTGAGATCCAACTCTTTCATTGACAGCCCTTCATATCCCTGCCCATCCCCATTAATATTAAAAAAATCAAAACAAAAACACTTCATATAGTCACTACTGTAATTTTAAATACTACTGAGAGATTTCAGCATGCAGATCTCTTCTGTTTGTAGACTGGATGTAGCAAAGTATGCACCCACACAAGTCACCCATAGGATAAGCCCTAATGCAACAAGGGAGAACTCAAAGTATGCACTCACACAAGGGTGCATCCACCCATAGGATATGCATCCACCCATATGATAAGCCCTAATGCAACAAGGGAGAACGCTTTCATCGATCTCAGAAGTATGCATCAAAAAGATACACTTCTCCCCACATATGTTTCTCTGCATCCACTTCATCTCTCAGCTTGGACGTCTCTGTAAGTGCCCTGCAGGGAAATCCATCCCTCCCCATGTTCTAGAGTGGGAAGAGGGCCCATAACTAGAGACAGGGAAGAGGGCCTTCCCTGGGCTGGAATTAGCCTTTGTGAACAACTCTGCCTGTGTGTGTGTGCTTCCCAGCACACCTGTTTAGCTCTCAGAAAGGGCAGGACTCCATTAATAACACTGCCTGTCCAGAGATGCAGTTCATTATTGAGCATGTACCATTGGTACTTGAGGACCACATATAAGGTGACTTTTATGTTAGAGGGTTTTTTTAGCTTTTTTCCCTTTTATATTGTTCTAAAACATTAAATCTCTGCTTGAGAAGGGACAGATTCAAAGTTGTTTCCCCGTATAAATGGTGCTTGATGGTCCCTACCTGTGCAACACTTGCAGGGTAAGGCTCCCCAAGCCTCCAACACAAATTGACCCACTGTCATTTGCACTGAACTGCAAGCTCTTTGGCACAGGGTATTGAAAGGCTGGCAGGGTGAGCCTGGGCTGTCGTCTCACCAGCTTTAGCTCCCGCAGATGTGCAACAGGGTGCAATACATTTGCCTGTATTCCCAAAAACATCAAAAGCAGAGTCTAGTTGGAGACCTGTAGCTAGCGGTGTCCCCCAGGGGTCAGTCCTTGGTCCAGTCCTGTTCAATTTATTCATCAATGACCTGGATGAAGGCACAGAGTGCTCCCTCAGCAAGTTTGCTGATGATACCAAACTGGGAGGAGTAGCTGATACCCCAGAGGGCTGCGCTGCCATCCAGAGGGACTTCCCTGGATTATCTAAATATTTCTGAAATCCTTGGTGTTCAAAGGAGACCTTTGAGTTGTCTGAAGTGTGCCTAGGTGTGTGTATTTCCTGCATATAGCATATAGCATGGCTGTAGCCAAGTTCAGAACAAGTATTGTGTCCAGTTCTGGTCTCCACAGTACAAGAGGGATGTGGAGCTGATGGAGAGAGTCCAGCGCAGGGCTACCAGGATGCTCAGGGGCCTGGAACATCTGCCCTATGAGGAGAGGCTGGGGGAGCTGGGCCTGTTCCGCCTGGAGAAGAGAAGGCTGAGAGGGGATCTAATCAGTGTCTATAAGTACCTCAAGGGAGGGAGTGCAGAGGACGGTGATGGTCTCTTTTCAGTGGTGGCCACTGATAGGACTAGAGGAAATGGCCGGAAACTGAAACATCAAAAATTCCATAGGAACTTAAGGAAAAATTTCTTAACAGTGAGGGTGACAGAGCACTGGAACAGGCTGCCCAGAGAGGTTGTGGAGTCTCCTTCTCTGGAGATCTTCAAAACCCGCTTGGATGCCACCCTGTGCCATGTGCTCTAGGTGACCCTGCATGTGCAGGGGGGTTGGACTAGATGATCTCTAGAGGTCCCTTCCAACCTTAAGCATTCTATGATTCTATGATTTGCTATATAAGCACTGCAAATAGACACTAGACTTTTAGAAAAATAAGTAAATACTGGGCTTAAGGTCAAATCCATCATTAACCATCCATAGGTATGACCTAATATTCTTGCAGATCTGTGGACTGGCAAAAAAAATCATGCAAATACAGATTATAACCTCCAAAATAATTTCTTAGTTGATCACCTCAGCAAATTCAGGACTGAGACTCAATGCTGACAAACTGAGAATCAAGCTGCATCCTGAAGTTTTACCTCTGAGTCCGAGCTGTCAAGTTCAGCCAACGTGGGAGCCTTAAGGAGTCTCTTTCGTTGCACTGTCACTTGCATGGCACCATTCTGCTTTCCTTGTGCTGCCAAGCTGCCATTCACTGCGGAGTCATCGAGCTTTCTCCCAGCCTCCGGCGTAGATACATCTAGCAAAAGAAATAAAGCAATTGGTGTTCGGACACTGCACAGTAAATGGCACTATCAGCTTTTATTTTACCTTCCCAAACCTTACTGTCGAGGCAGCACACACAAAAGGAAAAAAATACCGGGAAACTGGGATGGTAGTTTACGTGAGTGATTATTTAACTTCAGCTATACATTGCTCAGAAAACTACAGGCCATGGCTTGTGGTACAAAAGCAAAGTGAAAGAATGAAAGCAGTGGAAAAAGCAGCAGAGCATGATACTAAAAAAAAAAAAAAAAGAATAAAGAAAGGAACCTCAATCAAGTTCTGATGAACTTAAAAAACAATTCCTGTGTTAAAACTGAAAATATTCTTCCTTCAACTTATAGTCTATAATTAACTATGTGAAATATCAGAAGAAACATAAATGCACAACCATGTCTGTACAAGGGGGTTTCCAGTGAATTTGAAGACATTACCATATGGAAATGATGAGTATTAGCATGGAGTATATCCAGTTATTCCTGTAAGAACAGAATTATACTTAATTTTTCTGTATAGAGAAAAGCAATGAAAATGTGCTAAATAGCTATCATTCATCAAAAATAAGTATAATTCTTAGGTTTGCGTGGCAATTTGTATTAAAAATATGTCTGTGATGTCAAATCTTTATGTAACAGCAGAAACATGAGGCTCCAGCTCTATTTTCACCTTCATGCATTTTATAAGGATGAAACTCTGTTGAGTAAATTACTCAGGATTTCTGCCAGTGTGAGTGAAGCTGCATCTCTGATAACTTCAACATGGGGTTTGCAGTGCTTAGCCTAGTCTATGTTTAGCTCAGCTTAAATGAAGTTAATGGGCTGGCTTTGATAATTTAGGAGAGCTTAGACTTTGGTCTGATAAATCAGTTTTAGCCCTGTAAAAGTACAAAGAGCGGTATTCTGATGTGAAGAAAATTATGTTGGCGGGAGAAGGAAGAGAAGTGTTTAATCAGAAGGAAGAGCTTCCATTTGCATGTATGCATAAGCATCTGGTCTTTCTGCAACTATGTTTTTCTACCCATGTAATTATATGACTCCCTCCCAGTCTTGTAATAACCTTAAAATACCTGGAGGTACTTTGTTAAGGTAATGAAGGGTTATTACTCTGATTTTATATCTGGTGGACACAGGTACAGAGGGCTAGCTGATTTGTACCTTGGGTTACTTGGAGAACTATGACAAAGTAACCATAACCCCAGATATTCCTTGTGCCAACTACGTAAGTGCTCATACATTGTTGAGAACTACTTATGTAGTTGCACTGAAAAAAACAGACAAGAGTCTGTTGAGCAGTCACTGCTGCTACAACACAATTTGCATTGGTAAAAGCTGTTTTTGCACAAGGTAGGTAAAAATTAAGACTGTGAAATTACAGTCTAGACAAAGCCTCGCTTGCAACATTAGGTCTGTTTTACAACATTCTCACTGGACAGCAATTAAATAGAATGAGTTAAATCAAGAGACATTTTAGAGAGTCAGTTGGGTCACTCTTAAATGCTGTAAACTAAGAGGGAGACATGACAGGGAATATTTCGTAGTTTCTCTATAAATCACACCTTCATCTGGGAATGTAAGAAAAGGGGATTGTGTGGACTCTCAGTGCCATGGTGACATTCCAAGACTGTGAATCTGCATCCTACAGGGTTATTACTGCCTCGGGTCCTCCCTACAAAGAGTCACAATCAAATACTCAGGCTCTCTAAGCCTAGTTCCCACCTTCAAAGGTTTTACTAATGGACGTCCTAGCCAGCACTACGGCTTCTGGGCCACGATTTTCCTCCTTTATTTTTCCCTTTTTTTTCTTTAGAAAAACGAGTACAGCATGGGAGTCCCTCCACATCAAATGCATTCCTCCTGTAATGACCGCTTGACACAACCCCAGAAAGCCAGAGGAGCAAAACGAACACCAACGTGCCCCACCGCGCTGCTGCCAGCGCCGCTTTTGAGACGTCACAACTGGGTGGCACGAAGCTGATAGCAGCAGCTCCGGGTTTCCCAAGCGCACGAAAGGAGGAAACCTCTGATATGTTCTGACTGCGCTCGTCCGGCCCAAGCAGCAGCCCTGGCAGCAGGCAAGGTCCCTCCTCTCCAAACCTCCTGGCTGGCTCGACTGCCTGACGGCCGGGAGCTCCTGGCATGGATCAAAAGCGGTGTTGGACTCACCGGGAGAAAAACGCTGGGGAGACCAGCTGCACGGCTCTCCTCACAAAATGCCATAAATCACTACCTGCAAAGCCTAAAATAGTTTTTAAGTTCACACATGTATGAGTTGTTCAGAAATACCGTTTAGAAGTCTTTCTGAAATACCAGAGAACCTTTCGGTGAATCTAGAATATGACAATTTATATGACAATTTATATATTGTATTTGCTTTGAAGGTCTCTTCAGTAAGAAATTACATTTATTACTGTTCTTTCCTCCAAAAAAAAAAAAAAGAAAAAAAGTTGAGGGTAAACTGATTTTATAATTTGCAAGCATTGCAATAGTTACAAAAAAAAAAAAAAGTAAAACCAGAAAAGCACCTAATTTATAAAATCAGTTTTGACTACAGTTTTGGAGTTATCACTCCTGCACTTACAGTACTGTTATATATAGGTATTTTATATTAAAATAAAAGTTTTTTACATGTAAGTTTATATATATGTATATATATCAGTTATATATTATACTGTTAAAATATACATAAACATAACAATACTTTAAGTGCAGGAGTGCTAACTTAATAAAAATAAATAACTTAAATAAAGTACTTTTTTTTTACTGTGTATTGGTTAAAAAATTCTGGATTTAACTGTGGAACAAGTTGTTTTTGTTGAAATCTACCTGCTGAATCTGTAAAATCACTATCTCCTTATATTATGACAATCCATATACTCCTGCATTATTTGAGTTCAGTTTATCACTCCTGCACTTAAAGTTATTTTAGTGATGTACTCTGACAGCAGAAACATCACCATGTGGCAAACAACCACACAGCATCATAAACCTGATAAAACTTATTGGGATAAGAAGGGCAGAAACTACCAATAGACTGATGTTTATAAAAATGACTACTTAAAAAAAAAAAAAAGCAATGGGCAAATCTCTGAATAAAGGAGCTAAATTTACTTTAAAAGGAAATAGCAATTTGACCAGCTCTAGTTTCACAGAATATCTGAACATCTTGAGGATGATTCAGCTGATGCCAAAAAAAGCTTGTGCAAGTAACAGCCTGGAATTAACATTTTATTAGAGCCAGTCACGTTGGGAAAGGGCCATTTCTCCGTGTCACCAGGCAGTGAATATGATGAACAGCACCTGCAAATTGGAGGAGTATCTTTAATTTCCTTGAGATTGTTCTAAAACTGTCGCTAACAACAGGACATGAAACAGAAGGTCTTGGATTTGAACACTTGACTACATACCTTTAAAATCAGTGTTTAGACCTTTGCGTGTTGGCTTTCTGTGACGAGTCTTAATGAGGGGAGACTTAAAAAAGAAAACTGAAATTCTTTGCCTTTATTTACGTGCAAGATTATGTCTCTTACGCAAAAAGGCACGAGGCTGACCGCAGACAACGCGCAAACTGCAGCACTCAGGTAGCCTGGTTATATGCTGATGTTGTATGTTAACCGTGGTTATAGGCTGCCTCCCTCCTTAACAACTCTCATTGACAAATATTGAAAACGGAAACCTCAGCCTGGTTCTATGTAGCAAATGCACACCTCAACCCTAACATTTCTACATTTAGTTTACAACAAGAACCAAATAATAGGATTTGCAGAATTAGCATAGTTCTATCTATCTAATAATACCAAGGTATTTATTGTAATAATACACTGCAGAAGATAATAGGATGAGTAATGGTAACACAGATGTGCTGTTCCTTTCGGTGGACTCAAGTGTTGAAGTCAGGTATGAGAAATAATAAATCATGGTAAGTGTTCCCAGGTGTTCGCATCCCATTCATTCCTGTAATAGCTAAACCAGCAATTACTGGGACTTGATGAAGTTGCCCCCTCCCAGTGACCCAAGGCACAGATCCAGTAAATCCAGCAGTCCCCTAACTTCACAAGTTTGGGAGCACGAGGAATAATCCCCCTAGAGCCTGGTCTCAGAGCTCTTCAGTTTCCTTTTTGTTTTCTTTCCCCCCACAAATGTACAGACTGTTTCCAAAGTAAAAACTTCAAAGCCTCACACATACATCCCTGGGAGGGGAGACCTTGCGTGTTAGGAGCGAGCGCCCGATCTTCTGAGCCACGCGAGACACGGAAGCGTGGTGTCTTGGTCCGTGGAAGCAAAGCTGCCTCTAGGCAGCTCCTCTGCTAATAGAGGAAGTGCCCCACAACTACCACAGGCCCTCACGGATACCCGAACAGCCTTCAGATACTCTCATTACATTTGGCTACTGCTTGCTGCTTCTCACCTGCTAGCTGGAAAGGCAGGGTAAGAGGAGATCCCACACATTCCCCCTCTTCTCTTTGCGGTGACAACAGTGGGGAGGTGTGTAGAGCAATGTGACAGATCCACCATCCCACCTCGATACCAGAGAGAAACTCCTCAGACCTGGCCTGCACCACCACAGTCACACCCGGCAAGCCTACAAAAGCCCTGCACTTGCCTGCTAGCACTTAATATATTGGAAATACCTCTGGCTTTCAACAGGCTTGTGCTTTTTGTGGCAGCAGTTCAGTGAAGCAGGGAGCAATGAAAGCAGTGAGAGCACATATGTGAAAAGAGCGACCACAGCATGGAAGCACAATATACCCTCCCCTCCCGTCCTAAATAAAGAAATAAAAACATTAGAAAAGCAGTAACATCCAAAGCAGCTGCTCATCTGCTGATCATCTATGCCCCAAGCCATCTAATTCATCTGCAGTGCTCATCTGCCGTCTCACATCGGCCCAGCTGGGAGCTTCAGCCGCCCTGGATTTGCTGCTGGAGACACTGCACGGGATCACTCAGGCACGGAATGCGACACTACTCGCAGAGAAGCACATGACTCGGAAAGCAGAAAACAACCACATTTAGAAGATGGTGCAAGAAAACAGGAAGAGTTCTTCAGTGGTCAGTCAAAAAAAAAGGAAAGTTTTGTACTGAATAGATTGCTCTGAAGCTACTTCTTAAAAAGAAAAATATTATGGTAATGAGTTAATGGATTTGTGAGGGGAGCTTTTACAAAATATTTTTGGATTTAAACAAATGAGATGTGTCAGGATCCTGAAAAATAACACGCGAAAGAAGAGGCAGACACATGTACAAGGATAGACCTGAACTGGTTCCCTTCCACTGGTCATTGGCACAATTTTTTTTTATCTTTTACCATCCCTGGAGGCAATACTTTTAAAGAACTGAAGTTTGACTGTTTATGCCTTTATCTGATTGCCAAGGGGACCCCCCAGCTTTCAGCGGAATTAGACCTGGTACCCAGTGCCTGTGTCACTTGAATCCCGGCAGCCAGCCTGCGGTTCAGGCAGAGGGCTTTGCGGCTCAGCGGCCTCGTGCTGCCACCGACGGCGAGAGCCTCCTCACCGAGCAGCCCGCAGATAGAATGCAAGCTTGAATCACTAAAATAGTAGAAAACCAACTCGGCAAGAAACAAAAGTATTTGTTCTGGGTTACGTGAGTTTAATCAGTTTATGTGGTGAGTAAAGGGGCAGAAAAGCAGAGAGGAGGAGAAGGAATCCCATGCTTGGAGCGGGGAGCTTGGCCCTCTCCTCTCCTCTCCACAGCAAGTTGAGAGCTGGGCTCAGCTGCACCTTGAAACTGCATTCGCAGAGCCCTTCTGGTCTTTGCTCCTACACCGTGAGAGTGCTGCACTTGATTACGTTATGGCAATCAAATAGCTCATACGTGGCCTTTCTCTACTGCAATATGCTAGCATTGCAGTCTGGTTAGGCCCTTCTATGGAAAAAAAATTACCGAAGCGGATGAAAGGGCATATGGAGAAATAGATGAGGGAAATTCTGCACAGTCCCATACAAAATGTGTCTGTCTGTAACTGGAAGGGAGGGGAGCGATATAGCTGGTGTTGCTTCTTCATGGAATAAGAGGTTGGATTTATTTGGAAACTCTTTTTTTTTTTTCAGGAGACACCTAGGGAAAGCACCTACTTGCACAGAGTAGCCACAGTCAGGTGCTAGCTATCAGCCATCTCCTGCCAGTCCATTTGGGAAGGAAAGGATAAGCTCTCTCCCCCATGGACAAATCTTTGAGGCTACTGTAGAATATTAATATCCTCAAATAAGGGGTCTTTAGGCTTGAGTATCCTGAAAAGCTAAGTACCCAGTGTGGGAGGCCTGTATTTACTTTATGCCTAATCAGCAAAACCGTTCCTGAAGTAGAACACAGTTTGTACAGCTGGTACATGGCCAGCTAATGACCCACTAAAAGGAAACTTTAAATTACTTTGAAGTCCCACATCAGCTATGGAATCCTCTGTATCAGCTGAGTTACCAGCAAACTTTAGCCACTTACTTTGCTAAGTGGTAAGGAGTGATGGTTTAACCTCTTTTGAGTGAATGTCTTTGATTCTGTGTCTCACAAAACACACTGTAACTTTTCTTGGCAGAATTGACAGTTCTTTTCTACATTAGCATCACACGTGCATTTTATTAAAACCAGAAAGATGGAAGACTTAAAAATTAGGTTTTTAGATCTCCCCAGAAATGAAGGACTGCCAAAAGTCAGTCAAGTCAAAAAGTGACTGACAAAGGTCAGAATAATAAATAATAAGCAAAACAGACTTGAATGTGACACTGCGGTCTGCAATCCATTATAGAGCCTAGAGTAGCTCTGGACCATCTTATTTTAGTTATTTATTTAAATAGAATTCCAGCAGTCAATTACAATTGAAATGTGTTCTATTCCTATCTCTAGGCAGCCTCTTATGATAGGGGAAAGACAAGTATTAAACAGTAATTTACCTTATGTCTAATTTTCACTGACCATATCTCGGAAGAACCCCTTCAAGTTTCTTTCTTAAATGTGAATTCCACAAACAGATGGAACAAATTTCACAATAAGCACAATAACCACGTCAGGTGCCATTGCACCTTTTACCTGACAAGTCAAAACTGTAAGACATGCTAAGTGGCCGCATTGCTGTAAAAAAGAAAAAAAAAGAACAAAAGAAAATGATTCAGCTATTAGAAAAAAAGAATAACAAAAACAGAAGATCCTCTAGACCCACTACGAAACAAAAGATTCACTCCACTAGAGACATTTTGGATTATGTTGGCTAAATCCAAAATGCCAGCTGTACTACTGCCTTGCCGAAGCAAAGCTTCTAAGTGTGAAAACTACTGTAGCATAAATGAGAGTTGCAAACACCACAAGCATAAAGATATATTATCATGAACAGTTGTAGAATACTTTCAGAATACAGTAAATCAAATACCAAAACATGAGGTAGGTCTCTTAAAGATAGCGTATTTTCACTGGAGAGCAGGAAAAAGGACACGCAAGACAAAGCGTGCGTAGCAAAGCAAGAGCAAGTAAGAGCCAGCGAGCGAAAGAGCAAAGGGGGCAAAAGAGAGAGAGCTGAAAAGAAACCCCAGAAAGTACAAAGCCACATTTCACACAAGTTTCAGTGACCTGAAATAAAGATTTCTCTTTTTTTTTTTACAGCATAATCTCCAATGATTTTAATTAAACTAATAACGAGAGACACTGAAGTTAAGTCTGCACACCGGTTTCCTAAAAGAGGAAGGGGAAAAAGGCCAAACACAGTGTGATTTGTGCTGACTTCTGTTCTTTTTTACAAGCTGTCCCCCTCTTAGGGGGACTTAGCCTTCCAAAGAGATCCATTATATTTGCCTTTCTTTTCTGGGTCTCCAAATATGTCATTCCCAGATAAGAAAGCAGTTACATGTTCTTTATTTCCGAAACGTTTACAAAACCAAAAGCTTTGTTCCCGCTCAACTTACTAACAAAAGTCTGTGCAGGAAAATACCCACTTTGGATCCGGGACAAAGTCCAGGGCAGAGCTGCTGAGCGCAGCTTCCTGTAGGCCGCTGCAGTCCTGGCTCCCGACAAACACAAACCACTGCTGTGCTCAACCCGTCTGTATTTCTAATCGCACGGTGTTTTTTGGGGACTAGGGCCTCAGTTCTTTCACAGCCGACATCAAAACCTCGAGGCACTAAGCCACACGAGCAGCCAAACGCAAGCACGCGCCAGGGGCATCAGACCCGGCACCGGCTCCGCTGCATGACTTGCCAGCTCCTAAACATGCATGGTGCTGTCACAAATACCACTGCACAAAGAGACATTTAGAAGAGGCTGCACTGGGACAAGCTTTTGCACATGAGAACAAATTAAGGCAGTGAGAAGCACGTGGCTGACTCAGGAGAGGCAAATTTGGGGGTCATCGCCTTCCTTCCGCAATTCTGTAACACACATCAGCCAAAGACAGCGGCTCCAGAAATAATATCCAAATCTCCGCCCAAACTTAATATAAAGCCAAACACATTTTAAAGCATAGGGTTTTTATCGTATAACCCTAAGCCCTAACTGAGGGTTGATAAAGCATGTGCATGGAACAAAAAGTTTTCTCCAAGCTTCATTAGCTCATCCTGCTTGAGTCATAAATCCATGCTTTTAATTAAAACGACATGCACCTCAAGGCAGTGTTTGACAGTTTATTCTGACGATTTTATCAGGCCACGTGGAAAGGCAAATTCCAAAGGCCAAGCCTTTAGGAGAGCAGCTTCCAAGACGGAATTGCCCTTTTGAAAGAAGTTTCTCAAAGAGGTTTCAGGGAAGGGTTCCTGCCCGGGCATGGGCAGGCGGCAGCGCAGAGCAGCGCGGCTCGCGGGGCTGCCGGGGGCTTGTGGGCTCTCTCCTCCTCTCCGCGCGAGCCCTGGAGCGGGGCCGATCTCACCCGGGCACACACGGAAGGCACCTTCCCTTCCGCGCGCTTCACTCTAGGCCTTGTTTCTTCCTTTCGCTGTCAGCAGCTATGCCTGTCCAGATGGTGCAAGCATCCTGCACTGGGCCTCTGCTTAAGATTTATAATCCTTAAACCTCATTACTTTATATTTCATTATGCTAAATTACACTCAATGGTCTTCTAAACTGTAAGGCAGATCTATTCGTATCATACTATATCACCCTAAATGTCACTAGCATTCCCAATTGCTCCAGTTCCAATTCCAAACACATTTTATCCCAAAATGAATTTTGGACAATAAAAATATTTCTTTCAACATGAAAAAGAAAAAAAAACATACTTTAAGATATGAAATAATTATCTTCAAGGGACTTGCAAGATCTTCACTCTTTTTTCTTTTTCTCCATGGCAAAAACAAATAAGTATTTACATGATTCCACATTGAAAAACATCCTTCAACACTAGAGATCTGTACATCGCTTTTCACACATGCCATAATATGACATTCAATCCAAGTAATTAGCTGTACTAATGGGGAATTAGCACATTTCCAAAACTTAAGCCCCAGCTTTCTTTTACAAAAGAGGGAGAATTGGTGGGAGGTCAGGCCTCCCTTATCAGAGGTCTATACTGGGTATTCAATCCAGGAAATCTAACTAACGATGTTCTAAAACTTAGGACTGATTTTGGAAGCTGTTTGCTAACTAGGTCTGATGTCATTCATTTCAGTTAGAATTTGTAAAGAGCTATTGGGTCAAATTTGCTGCACCTGAAAGTGTGTGACAGTTCCGAGATGCAGAATAGAATATATTTATTGAAGTTGAATCTTTGGAAGAAAAGCAGGTTTTCCACATTTGTAAGTTTCCTATATTTGGAAAAACGTCTGCGTCTTCTAGTGGATGCGGCAAGAATAAACTGAATCCAAAACAGAAGTGGCAAGACCCAAAGCAACAATATTCAAAATGTTATGCTTTTAAAACTGCACCCAAGCACTTGCAAAATGAAACAACGAAACAAGCCTCATTAGACTGCTTTGCTCTAGAGACAAAGGGTTGTACAAACCCACTTGAAACGGGCACACGTGGCAGGCACAAACTGTTTTGCAAAAAACAACAACACAGGGGTTATTTCATGCTTTTCCAGCTACAAGATGCAACATTTGCTCTTCAAAAATCCAGCCAGTTCATTTTATCTAGTAGAGATACTCTTTAAGAAGATAAATGTAAGCCACAATAGAAGCTGTATTTGCCATGCCTTTCCTAACAGAACCATTGAAGGCAAAATTAGTGACTGAATAGTGTAAATTGTGTAATTTTATAGTGGGTTGTTACAGGTACACTGCAGAAATGAATTTCTTTGCAACATACATCTTAATTATTTGCCCACTGTGAAAGTATGTACAAACATACGCTCTGTAACTTGTAAACTGAAGTAAAGATTTACATACAAAATAGAAGAAAAAAAACAAATAAAATAAGAATAAAAAAAGGAGGGGTGGAAATCAATGATGCTAACAACAGGAAACAAAGTAAAATTAATTAGAAATGGATCTATAAAGAATACTTACAGATATGCAAGGAATACTGTACTAGGGAGAGGCAATATCCATTCCGGTCTGAGCAAATCTAACATTAGCTGCCATGTCCAACAAGTAACATAATGTCATTAAGGTTATCTAATACTGACATCAGAAACATGAAGGGATCCAGCTGAACCATACAGCATCTTGTTTTTAAAAATAAGTTAGCACAAAGATTGCACAACTCCAGCAAAGCCTGAAGGCTCTTTCATCCTCCGAAGGGACGGGAACAGTTTTATCTTCAGTGACATCTGTACAGACACTGCTAATATCATTGCTTCTTATGTGGGGCAGTTCTCTGCGGATGCTGCTGGCGAAGCTGCCACAGTACTTACCCAGCCTGCTACGCCTTATCTCGTCAGGTGAGACAGGGCGCAACTTCCTCTCTGCCTTGATTTCCTCCAGGATCCTCTCATGGAGGCTGCGTGGCCGTGGTGGCGTTGGTTTTAATTTTCTTGCAGAGGCCTTGGGACACAAAGATAATCATATATGATGAACATATGATTAATACGATCATACTAAAGATATATATATTTAAAATATTTTTTTTAAAAAGGGAATGTCATAATACGATTTCACACACACATAAATGAAGAAAACTCAGAGAGTACTGGAAAGAGAACATTGTATTTTTCCCTGATTCTTCATGATTTCACTGAGAGGAAGAGTTGCTGGTAATAAGAGCTATTACTTGGCAGGTGCAAGATATGACACTTTATGCTTTAATAGACTATATATTAGGCTTCTGTATATACAAGATAATATTCACAGAATCACAGAATGGTTGAGGTTAGAGGGGACCTCTAGTCCAAGCCCCCTGCACAAGGAGAGACACCTACAGCATGGGGCACAGGGTCACATCCAGGCGGGTTTGGAAGATCTCCAGGGAAGGAGACTCCACAACCTCTCTGGGCAGCCTGTTCCTGGGCTGTGTCACCCTCACAGTGAAGTTCTTCCTCACACGGAGGTGGAACTTCCTGGGTTTCAACTTGTACCCATTACCCCTTGTCCTGTCACTGGCCACCACCAAAAAGAGTTTGGCCCCATCCTCCCTACATTCACCCCTCAGGTACTTGTACATTTTGATCAGATCTCCTCTCAGCCTTCTCTTCTCTGGGCTAAACAGATCCAGCTCCCTTAGTCTTTCCTCATACAATAGATGCTCCCGTCCCTTAATCATCTTTGTCACTCTATGCTGGACCCTCTCTAGAAGCTCCATGTGCCTCTTGTCCTGGGGAGCCCCGTTTATACCCATTACCCCTTGCCCTGTCACTGGCCACCACTGAGAAGAGTTTGGTCCCATCTTCTTTACATCCTCCCCTCAGGTATTTCTAATCAAGGTATTTATAATCAAGGCAGCTTAATAAGACACGAGAACAACTATAATGTTAGACCATGTTTAATAGCTTCCATTCCACTACCACTTCCGTCTCGCATGCCTATGTTTTGTCATCTCATGAAGTCTCTGTTTTATCTGTCCAGCATTAGGCATTTTCTAGCAAGAGATGTGCATAGCTCAGTTACTATGAATGAAATGAGCTGGTAGTGGTTGTATATATGTGGGCTCAGCAGGCATTCTTCAAAAAACAAAATATTTTAAATATCCTTTGAGCACATGCATGCTTTAAATCCCCCCACATTTTTATAAAGACAGAAGTGTACTGGATTACATACAGGATTTAAGGGAGGTCGTGATCGGATGAAATCCAGGATTATTTCATGTGCGCTCTTTTTTAATCGAGGTGGAATGTCACCATTGACCTGGAAAGAAGAAAGTGAAACATGTATTTCTACATTTTACACTTGTATTTCTGCAGACGATGAGATGAAGCGAAAACTCGGAGCATCCCTGACAGAGCCTGCAGGGTTCTGACACCAGCACCAAATACGAAAATCCATCGGCCCTGCACAGTGATCCATTTGCAGAGCACAAGCAAGCTAAGATGTAGATAAGAGCTTTTTCAGCTCTGCAGATTGCTACAGAATGAACTACAACTGCAGCAGCGTTAATTAGCAATACTTACGATCCTGAAATGATGGGATTAAATATCAAGGCTGCAGCTGTGTCTGTAGGAAAACACTGATAAAGCTGGCACCTCGCTTGGGGAAAGGGTGCCAACCATCTAATTTTTAAGAACAAATACTTGAACTTTTCCTCAATCTTGACTACACTGCCAATTGTTACACAGTTAGGTAAGGTTAGGTTCTGAGAAAATACAGGTATTCTTTAGGGCCTAAATTTCCTTGATCTCCTTGCCCTTGCATGGAAATCCCAGTGAAAGGAAAAACACCTCTGAGGTTGGTGTCACAGCTACCTCCAGGTCTGCACTTCAAAAATGTATTCAAGTTTGGTAACATGAATATATATATATACATATAAAAAGAACAGGAGAAGAGAAGACTACAGAGAGCACCTCACAGGAAATGATCAGCAATTCATTCTGTGTTAGGGATGCAGAACAAGAGAACGGGAGCTTTCCTATCATTTGAGCCATTACACACTGTAAACTAGGCAAAAAACGGCACAGATGTGCCGAAGCGAGGCAGCAGTTGGGCTGAGGCTCTGCTTGGCACAGTGCCCAAGGTACCACCAGGGATGAGGCTGCAGCCCACACCAGACCACGAGGCCACCTGAGCTCGTGGCCCCGCTAAGCGCTACCGGCGCTGTGTGACTTGGGCCCGTGCACTGCGTGCCTCGCACGTGCCCCCTCCCCGGCACGGCAGGAGAGCCCCCGTAAACAGCGGTTCCTTCCCTGACAGGGGCTCGGACGGGCGGCCCCGCTGGCGGGCAGTGCCCTGCTTCCTTGGGGAGGCTTTCGGGAGGGGTCTTACCCGCCCCCGCCCTGGCACGGCCTGATTCCTGCTCATTTCCCTTAGTTTCCTTGGAGAAAACTGCAGGCAGTTCGGCACACACAAGCTGCAGGACTGTGTATCGTGCGGCACACACTGACAGCAGTATGGAAAGATTAAAACCAAAAAGATTTATATTAAATGAGGACCAGATCTTTTACCATGAGCACCATATTATTTTAAGTGATGGGACTAATTTCTTCTTTCTAAAGACTGAGCAATTTTCCGAGACCAACCCGACTCGCGTGGTTGACAATGAAAGAAGTCTCCCTTACCCAGGTCGGTGCTCATCAGATGCCAGGGTTGATAGCTGAACTTGAGTGTTATTAGCATGAGAACAGCTGTTTTGTAAAGCGATAAGCTCTGCTCCAGCCTTGGGGAACAACTCTTTGCATCACAATATCAAATAAATAATACATGGCTCTGAGCCCGACCTCTCAGGGCACCCAATGCACTGACTTAGTGCCACCGGGCTCTAATTAGCAGTAGTATCCCCATTTGAGGGGAAAAGCAGCACGGGATTTTCCTAGGGAATTGCCCGGGGAACTACAGGGAGTTGGTGGCAGAGCAAGAGGCCCCGTGCTGGGCAGAGGCGGGAGGCGCCGGCCCTGCCGCGCAGGGAGCTCCGGCGCGGCCGTGCACCGTGTCCCTCTCCACGCGCACGGACCCCGAATCGCTGCGGAACAGCGTCACACGCAGCTTCGACTTTTGATTAATGCATTGATTAAAATTCATGGCTCTCAATTAAGGCCTAAGTCAGAGAGGTTTTGTACAAATGCAGGCATATGCGCAGAAAAATACTGCCACCTCCAATTATCCTTTTCTTGTCATACAAGATTTGCTCCAATTTCAAATCAATATTTAAATGAAATATCTCAAAACATTCTTAAAACTATTCTAAATCATCATGTGCATTAAATGGCCTTTTCTATGGCTCTGTGCATTAAAACTGGTTATGTGGGAAAAGCACAGCCCTTTATTATAAAGTCAAATGGAAATTTAGAGGTCTAATCAGGCAAAGCATGCAAAAATTACCATGTGATAATGCACTAGACTTCCACCCACTACCTTACAATTTTATTTTTTATATATGGACTTTAATTAAAAAGCTAATTTCAATCGGCATTTAGCAGGATTTAGCCAAAGCCTGAATTTTAGCAACGGTGCATAAAAGGTACCTTACAGCCATGCACTGATCAAGTAAGATAAGAGCTATGTAGCTCCCGTTCAGTAAGTACTGTTCAAAAAATACAGTGAACGACTGCAAAACGGGGTGGGCGGTGGAAAAGAGAGCTAATATGAATTAAAAATGAATTAATAATGAAGTCAAAGTGGAATTAAAAGCTGTAGCTTAATGCATATGCCCAAAGAAGAAGAAAATAAAGCTGCAAGAAGATAATGTTAATTCTTCCACTTCCCAATTGCTGTTGACTGTACCAATGCTAATATTTTTAACCTTTTGAGAGGGACTGCTCCATAGGTGAAAAATTCTACTCAAACTATTCAAGCAAACATTCAAATATTACAAAAGGCCAGAATTAAAGTTATCTTCTTCCTATCCCAAATATAAAAGTGATGACTCTTGCATAACAGGGACAGTGAGATGACAAATTTGAAATTACTGTATCAAATCATAAATGTACTGAAATAGAAGTGCAGAAGTCACTGAAACTAATGAATTCAGCTACTTACAAAAAGCCCTGAATTTGACATCTCCAAAACACTTGCAATATTTGCACTATGCCAGAAGACTAGAGAGAACACACAGTCCCAGTCATTGGTATCTTTTTAGCTCAACACTCCTCTTAGTCTGAAATCCCCAAATAGCTCCTAAGTAATGCACCTTATCTGGGCATCTGCTCCTTTCGTTCTACTGAGAGTACTCATCAGACAGGAAGAATTCAAGCTATTTGTTTAAATATAGCACTGCAATCATAAAAAGAGGAGCAAAGAGTATATGTTGCATGTTATTTTCTTAAAAATCATCTACCCCTGGTTATCATTAGCAGTATCATTATCACTATCTTTCACAAGCTTCTGTAAGCAGCTATAAGGTTTAAAGCAAAAACTGGTTTTCATTACAACTTTGCCAAGTGACTGTTTTGATCGATAGACAGAAACATAATCCATCCTTCCGTGGCTGTTTTAAAATCCGGACTGAGGGTCCTTGTCCTCCCTGCTCCCCTGTTCCTCAGATGCTGCTGGTTTCTCTGGTGGGAACACACGCAAGGCTTTGATCCGTGACCAGCAGCTAAGGGGCTCTGTATTTATGGCTACACTTGTAATTAGCTGCGAATCCCTCGGGCTGCAGGCGTTTCACACCGAACTGCGCTCTCATTATTGCACATTTTGAGCATTCTTCAAGCTGACCCTGCAGCAGAATGCCAGGTGTGGGATGGAAAGTTCATAGCAAGAAAGAAGTTATTTTGCTAACACAAAATCACTAGCAGGTGCACGAGAGGAGGCAGACCGCCTGACAGGTAGTGCACCGGCAGCACGTTCCATCCCAACTCATGTTTGTGCCCAAAGGTTATTTGGGACAACCTGCCCCCTCGACCAGAGCGCGGGACAAACCCAGCTACTTTTAGGCACAGCAAGAGCCTGGGCGTGTTAAGCTGACTCCAGAAAATTGAAGACTTGAAAGTAAAATGCTTCACAGAAGTAACTCCTTGAAAATTCCTAACAGACCATCCAATCCAAGCAACAGAGGCAGTAATGTAAATTTTCCAGGATTGAAGGTTTTCCTTTTCTTCATAGCACTATTCGTGTTACACCACAGTAGCACTTTGTCCTATTAAATAATGTATTTATCTCCTGAAAAGTATATTAAAATTCAACATGCATGTTTCCCTCAATAATAAAAGCCTAAAAAAACCCTCAGTGCATAGCATGACAGCACTGCTCGTTTGAATGTTCAAGTTATCATCAAGCCAACACAAATCATTTGTTCAAGCACATGATACGTAGGCAAGTCTTTTGCAATTTTTAAATGCCTGCCATATGGAAAACAGAATGCATACCATTCTGTTTGTTGGTTTGTTGGTTTCACTTTTTTCCCCCTCAATATACTACCTACATCTAAGAGAGTATAAAAGCCATGAACATGACTAATCATCCGAAATCATAATTTCAAGGTTCTCAGAAAAGGATAAAAGATAAAAAGGAAGGCAGAGGAAATAAAAAAGCTTTTCAGATTTGACAGAATCTAGTGATATTCTTGACTTACCATAACCTTCCTTAAGGTATAGCGTTTGGATCTAATGTCATCCATCAGCATTTCGTAGGGAGTGAGCTGATACTCTATTGGGAGGGGGTTGTACTGACGCTCTTGAACTTTCTTAAGTTTGACGCCATTCCGTAAATCTCGCATCACTTGTACCCAAAAACGAGCCTGAAGAACCAAGACAGAAAAAAATTATTTAATACCTTACCCCTGAAAAACAACTCAAATTAAACCAAAATTGCTCATTCCATTGCAGGACATTACCATATCATTTTTTTTTTATTTCTAGCACATTAAAACAGGTAAGAAAAGTGGATGTTTTGAGCAAAACTACTCTTTTTGGTGGTTATTTTATATAAGGTTATTTTAGTCCTCATGAAATAATGAAACTTGGTTGCAACCCAGTAGATCTGGGGACTTACTTCAAGGGATATCCAGAAGTAAAAGAATACAGAAAAAGGATTTGGACACTCTCATACACCTTCAAATTTCAACTGCATAGCATTCATGTCGACAAAGTTTGTAGACTTGGAGCAATTACTATATTATTTAAAACTATGAGTCAGGAAATGCTCAAATTCTAACCTTTGGTTCCCTTATGTGCAGAACTGTCCTGCAGAATCTTCCAGTAGTTCTTCCTCAAACAGAAATTTTGGAATGGTCCCCAAATTCTGAGGTTTAAAAATACCCTATTGGTACTCAGTTCCTTTTTGCTCTGGCTGTAAGAGTCCCATGCCCTAATTTCTCCCTTTTTTTTTGGCAGTAGGAATGGGTAGAGAGGAAGAACTGCTGGACAGAACATTGAAGACTGAAATCAAGTCCTTTTAAGAAACTCATAATGTTCCTCTGTGCACTGGCCAAAACAGTTACTAGAAAATGCTACAGGGTGCTTTCTCTTAAGAGTTTCTCTGTAGCATTTTTATTTTACCATTCTAGAAACTCACAGCTGATGGCTCTTTTGGCTGCCACTTTGAAGGGCAGGCCATACGCCCTCTGTTGAAATGTCCAACTTCTCAAAATACATAAAGCTTCCCCATGAAAAAAGCAGAAACATAATAGTGATCAGCCTGGATACTTGCAGATACTTGCACTGCTTTTCCTGCCTGTGAAGGAGTGTTAAATTCTGTTTGGTCCTAACTTGTCATGACTTATTCCTAGTTCATATGAAAAGAAAAAGAAAAAGAAAAAGGAAAAGAAAAAGAAAAAGGAAAGGGAAAAGGAAAAGGAAAAGGAAAAGAAAAAGGAAAAGGAAAAGAAAAAGAAAAAGGAAAAGGAAAAGGAAAAGGAAAAAAGAAAACCCACAGACACTGATTTTACCATAACACAAGTTACGCTGGGAAAATAATGTAAGGAAATATAAACAATTAATAACAACCCAACTACTGTCCTACCCAGTCAGCATTTTTTAAGTCATCAAGGTCTGTGCTGGACTCATCACTTGCTTCTTTGTCCATTTCTTGAATCTTCTTCAGATTCTGCCAACAAAAAGAAAATTAGTCAATAAACTGCATGATGGCATTAAAGTAAAATGGAAGTTTAATTTTTGACATCTTTTGAAATATGTTACTTGAGTATTCTGATGAACATTTTATGACTTGAATAATAAATACTGTAATAGTAATAATAATAATTTGAATATATTTTGAATATATTTGAATATATTTTTCATAACTGAAAAATGGACCTTAAATGCTGGAGAAAAGGTTTTGCATGTGAACCTAGCTCAATAGCATGTCAGAGGAAAAGCTATATTCAGAAACTTTAAGATTTCTAAAATTGGGCTATCCACAGGAAAGAAAAAAAAACAGCAGTCTAAGAGGTTACAACAAAAGTTTACTAACTTGAAAGGAAACATTCATAACAAAACTACTGTCAGTAGCCAAAAGCGAGACAGCTCAGTTTTGTAAATAAAGAAAATCCCACAAAGTTAGTCATGAAGAGAAATAAATCATGAGAAATCCTTTCAACAGAATAGTGGCAGAGACCATCTATAACAAAATTAAGGAGCTTCTGTGACATAGTTATAGACTTTGGAATCTGAGTAATGTAACTGCAAAGTAGGGAATAAAAATAGATCTTTCAAAGGTAACAATTGCTATTTGTAAATAAGATCTGATGCAAATAGGAAATAAACTGCACATGAAAGGGCAAAACAAAAGCTTTCATAATAACAAGCAATAGAAAAATGATTGAAAGTTATAGTAGACCAAAGAAGAAGTAAGAGTTATACAAATGCAAGTAACAGATATAAAAGACATGTCTTGATGGATTTACAGAAATGATCTTAGGCACAAAAAATGCATATTCAAATGCTATTTTTTGTTTTACTTCTAAACTTAAATGTTCTGGAATCAGCACATAAGCAAATTGTCAACATTCTATTTTTTTCAGCGATTTTTCTAGGAAATCTTTCCTTTAACAAGGTTTAGTTTGATCTTTATTGCAATTATTTGCTCATGCATTAAACATAGCTAGGCACCTCTTCTGCTAACCTCTTGAGTTTGTGTTAGGAGGCTAAACCAGCAGCTCAGAGATAATATGGAAGATTTATGTGTTTATCACAGAAATATTTTTCTCACTTTGGAGTCTAACATACTCCATTATTCTAATGGAAGTAGATGGAAAGTCTCAGTTTAGCTTTGGAGCTTCCTGGAACACTTAAGTTGTAAGCACGTTTTGCAAAATGCCTTTTCCCTCAAGCAGTACCGAAATGGCCAACATTTGAAATGGAAGCTCTGAAAAATTCACTCACCAAACAGTGCAAGTGTTTACTCAGCTTGCTTACAGTGACAGCACGCGAGAGTCACCAACCACAAAGGTTTTGGAAAGGGAACAGATGGATTATTTATTGCTGTATTTAACTAAGTAGCACATTCACTGTGAGGTCAGAAAAGAAATACTACCGTTGTCCTTTAAAAAATAATGCATAATTTATGGAAAGATTCTGGAAAACCCATAAATCATCTATCCTACAAAAGCAAGTATGTCATCTCATGATGTGGGAACATTTTAGCATAATTTCCAGTATCATCACAAGATACCCAATGGGGAAAAACTGTTTGTATGGAAAGTCATTCTGGTTCTGTTGCTGTGGTCAGCAGTAGCCTAATAACTACTTTTGTCAACCCTTTTCCACAGAAAGAAAAAAAAAAAAAGAAAAACAGAAAGAACGTGAAACATTAAGGTCTCATGTACACATATTTTGCCATCTGGGCTGCTTATTTCCTGTATCACACTGGCACTTGCAGTAACCATTTCAATGATGATTTCTGTGACCTGTTAATGATCTGCTTTCTCGCAAGCTGCCATCATTAGTTTTGTTAATAATCTACAACATACAAAATTATCCTCTTTCACCTTCTCCTCTTCCTAACCAAAACGCTAACTCCACTAAATCAGCTGACAACTCTCAGATTTACTACTCCTTTCCCCACAGGAAGATACACCTTCATTGCTACAAAATTAACACGTTCCAGTGGCTTAGCCTTTACTTTGACTGCTCAACGAGACCTGCAGCAATTACCCATTTCAGCAGCCATGGTCCCAAACATGCAGTTTGCTGGGCTGCTCTCTGCCCAGAAGCATCAGGAGCATCATAAATACTCCACAAAGCTAAAAAGACTACAACTTGTTTTTCTTAACAGCAGAAAATCAAAAAGCGGGGGAAAATGTAGAGAGCTGCAAGATTTTCCAAATAAGGTGCTATACCTACCAGCCAAAGGGAACCAGCTCACAGGTATCCCCACAGCCTGGGCTTCGCTCCCCGAATGCAGCTCATGGCACAGGTTCTCCTTTCTTATAAGAGTTAGGAGTCTTTGGAAATTTGGGGAGGAAAGGGGAAATAGAAACTATTGTGTCCTTGCAGCTATTTGTTATGAAGGATTCTTTACCTCTCCTTCCCCTGTTGAGTGTTGCTTCAAATCATGGTGATGGATGATTATGTAAAATCTTCTGGACTAAGTGAAATATTCTCATTTCCCTCCACCACCCTCGGCCGCTGTCAGTGGGTTTTGGAATTTGTTTCAATTGCAATTTATAGAAACCAAAACATTTACAAAACAAGTGATGTTTAGACAACAGTTTGTCAGAACTTAATTGTGATCCAAAAAAATCTATGAGCGACCTCAGCTGCTGTGTCCATTTGTACTTACCCTTGGGACAACGGATTAAGAAAAGCTATTATAGTATAATAAATACACAGCCTAAGTGGGTTTCTATTTCAGAAAGGAAAAACGCCTTAAAAGGGTTTTTCTATATGACCCTAGAACCACAAACCCATACCACAAATCTGATTCATGTATTACAGCCTGGGCATGTATTCAGGAACTAAAGGGTTAGATTTGCAGGATGTCAGCATTTCAGCTAACATTCCGCTGTTTTTTTTTTCTTTTTTTTTTTTAGAGCATTTGGCCAATTTCAAAACCAAATTTTGCAATTAGCGCAAGGGACAAGAGAAATACAGAATTTCTCTGAATTTATTCTAGCACTATTTAAAGCAGTCAATTAAGCTGCTGTTGCTAAGTGGCCCACATTTGCAGCATGTTCTTCAGCGCGCAGCGACAGATGGAAGGTTATGTAAGACCCTTGTCAGCGCAACGTCAAAGACTCACTTCAACAAAATGCTCCCTAAAACGAAACATTTTAATGAACACTGAATTCTCAGGAACCTACACCTTGACTCTTTTTCACCAATTTAAAAACAGCATCTATTGCAATTTCCGATTTATATTTTTAATTCTGAGCAATATTTTACAGACGCAAATAATTCTTACACTGCTACCTAGGAAACAGTAGTCTTGCACATTTGTTCTCGGTTTAGAAATACATGACCTACATATCGTGGAAAAACTGCATTTCTATGTTCAGCTCTCTATCTTGGGCTTGAAATCTATGAGCTTGGCCAGCTGCCCATAGATGAGCCCATGCTCCTGTTTCTTGAAACTGCCCCATTTAACTCAAAAAAGAGGTGTTGAAAGGAATATGATCGGTAGAACAGTCCTGAAAACCCCTCCATACTTTGTATGTGAGAAAAAGAGCTTTCTCTCTTACTGAAAAGGTTGCAGTGGCTCCTAAACTGATGGACCAGAGAAATCACGATGGGGTTGTGAGGCTGATGACAACTCAGCTGCAAGGCTGGAGTCACAGATTGGAGGTATGAGCAGAAAGGTCTGGGAACTCACATCTTTTTGGACAGTACTTGCTGAATGCCCAAGCAGCAGGGTTTTCTGGCAGTTTTTATGGTCACCTGGCTAATGACCAAATTTCTGGAATAAGTGATTCATTAACAAGAAACACATCAAAACATTACTTGGGTACCTATTAACTAACTACCTCTATTACTGCATTTTACGCAAACAATACATATACATATAAAGCATATACAAATGTAAAATGTTAAATGGAGAGTAGCAATCTACTTTTGTAATTAACTATTTTTTCCATTAGAAAGGAAAACAAGAAGAATTTCATTTCTACTCACTACCTTCACTAGAATCTGCATCTTTACCTTTTTCATACATGTCAGGTGGAAATCTATCCAGACAGACTGACAGAATTAAGTTTTTACATTAGAAAGGAGAGAAATAAAAGAGGACATGATAAACTGGGAGCTTTACATGTACCCTGCCAAGAACTTTGGTTAATTTAAAGGCCTACTGTGGATAATGAAACTTTCGACAAACACGGACTTATGCTGCAAGCAAAGATGTACATGATTATAAAAAATTACTAAGTTTTAATTAATCTGTTAATCTTGATGCTTCAGGGTGTCAGCCAATCTCATAGCTGCACTTGCTGCCAGCTGTAAGCAACAAAAATATCTATTTGCAGATACTCCAGAAAAGGAACATTGCTTTATCTCATGGACGTCGCTTATTTGTGCCCACAGTTCTGCCGTGCGAGGTGCAAAACAAAGGTGATTCAAAGTCTTTTGGATGACCCTGAAAAAGGCCATGGGGTTCATTTTAGCAGGTATTTAAATCATCTTCCCCTCTCACAAACAGATCTTCTCCATTCTTCTTTCTCCACGTACAAAAACAAAGAGAGGTTCCCTTTGGGTGGAAATACCTCATTGAAGATACAAAATCTCACTGCTTGAGATGAGAGACGAGCTGTCCTCGTTTTTCACCAGCGGCTGTTAAGTGCCTGGATGGCAGGATACAGAGCCAGGGAGACCCGGCTCATCCCAAGGCCGCTCTGGGTGGTGGCTGGGCAGCAAGGGCCCCTCTCGCAGAGCTGCCTGCGCAGCGTGTGGAGGCTGCAGCCAGCCGGGAGAGCAGCCGGTAACCTGCTAGGAAGAGCCCACTGCAGTAAGACGCCAAGGTGGGTCAGACTCGTTAACTCAATGTCAACCCTACTTCTGGAGGAGCCGCTGCCGTTTCTGCTTTTCCACAGAAATATGTGTTTTTAGCACTATATTTTTTTTTCAACATTTTTACTATTGCACTGTTAGTATCACACCTTTCTCACCCTCGGCTTCTGCCTCTACTGCAGTAAGCATTGCCTTCTCTCTAAGAGCAGATGTGTCTCCCTGTCAGCAAGTCATCTTTATTGCTTGTCTCTGACCTTTCATACCCAGAGAATTAGACTTGAAAAAAATTATGCTTGGCATCAAGTATGTGACAGAGTGTCTACAACGTTACTTGACATCCACTGAGATGATCTGAACAGCCTGCTCACGGCTTCATCATTTCTGAGTAATGCGCTCGCCCAAACACATGCCAGTAAAATCCTTTCTGAAACGACACATTCTATATATTGCAGTGATGTTCACATTATAGGCTGGAGTGCACAGGACTGTTTAGTAGATAGGTTAGTACCTATACTTACTCCAAACCTATAGGCCTATACCTCCGGCCTCCACTGGATACCGTAATTTGCAAAATCCTCACAAGTTTTTACAGTACCACACTGAAAATAGCAACACAATATATTTTTTTTTCCTCTCTTTTAGAGTGAACTTCTCTGCTACACCTGTTCTGGGCTATAGTTTGAGGTTGGCCAGATCTAGTCCGCTTCTAGGGAGTTAATTTCTACAGATAAACGTCCTCATGGCAGTTCCAGTACCTACTGAGCAGAGTATGAGTTTCATTTACCTGGGAAATCGATACCCTGACGGATACCTTGGTCCTAGAAGAAGGCCAAAAAATATTTTTTATTCAAACCAAAGATATTTTTGAGGATTCTGTTTTCCTTTTTTGAGTCTTTAAATTTCATTTTTATGCCCTCAGCAGAGCTGTGCTAGGTCTGAGGGCTTCCAAAGGAAGCTCTCCAAACACAGTGGTCAGTTTTGTAGGCCATGCAAACGTTTAAAACTCCTGCCATCCTCAGTGTCACAAACATGGCATTACATGGTCTAAGACTCTTTTATCAGAGGTGATGTATATACCTTATTTGTTTCTCTCCACTTCACTTCCAGTGCAATCAGCACAAATTCACAGTGACAAAATGCCCTTACTGAAGTGTTACGTGTTTCTCTCCCTATTACCCACACTATGTGAGAATACAAAAGAAAAAAAAAAAGACAAATTTATTAACTGATTGTATTTGACCACATTACTCATGAATTAAGATTCTTGTATGTATTTGAAGTATAAGATAACACATAACTACAATTTTTATTGGCACAAACCTAATACGACCACATGATTCCAACCTGTCTCAGATATAAACTACAGAGGTCATTTAAAAAGAGTAGGGTAAGATTTATAGAATTCCACTTTGTATTTCCTTCATATCTGTTTTTTTCCTATGTGCACTATATAATTTTCAACTATTAAGCAGCTTCTGAATCTATAGTTGGATACAGGCAATAATGGAGTAACAAGTACATGATAAAACCAAAGTATAAGTATTTCAGAAGCTATGTGTAAGATAGCCACGGTTTTGGGTTACTTCTTCTATGCATACTGGGGGACTGATCCAGAGTAGAATGAAATCAAATGATCCAAATTCTGGCCTTTGTAAGAGCAGTGATAAAAGTGCCATTGATTTCAGTAGGGCCGTTATTCCGTCCAGAAGGATTACTTCCTTTGACCTAAATGTGCTTTGAATCAATCCCTAACAGCCTTTGAGAGGCAAATGATTTCTTTCATTTGGGATTAACTCATAGTATGCTCTATGCTTTTTAAAATGTTCAATCACAAGATGATTAAATAATTTGTAAGTTCAAAACATCTCATTAATTTTTAATAAAAGTCTGAAAGGTTGTTTTTAACAGCTGTTTTTAAATATATAGTTTTTAAATATAAAATATATAACATTTTACTTCAATACTGACTAAGAATAGAGATGGCATGTAACTGCTTTCTGTCCTCTAAATGCTTAAGAACTACTGGAAAGGTAACCTGCCTTTCTGAGCAGGAAGAGGGGCTCCAGAGGGTCCTGTATCTGATCCTCAGTGTGGACAGCTGTCAGAGGTGTTGCTGGCAAAGGTTTTTCAATTAGTAGATGCAATGGTCAGACCACTAAGGAGCAGCCAAAACCCAAGCTGTGAATTTAACAACGTCAAGGTTCAGAAAGCAGGTCTAGCACTGAGACCCCGTACCCAGCCGGGGCTCCGCATCAGCAGCAGTGGCTGCAGCTGAACCACAACGCAGGCATTTCAGAAAACAAGTGTCTCTTTAGCCGTGCTGCCAATGCCATAATTATCCCTGCATGATCCTGATATGGTTTAAAAATTGCTTTCAGCTTGAGTAGAACTGGAGGAAACAGGAACATGAAACTCAACTCAAAGGCAGCAGAAAAGCATCTCTGAAGAACTGCCCCCCTTAGATGGACGCATCCCTACCAGTTTTCCAAGCAGAAGGAAAGCAAATGCCAGGCCCTTGTGCCTCTGGTTTGAGTCTTCTGCCAGTGTGAAGATAACTGCTCTGGGGCTCCTCTGACCCTTGACGAGCTGGTTCAGCTCATTAACCCAACAAGGAATGAGTCCTCTCTTTTTTTTTCCCTTTGCTCTGTTTGTTTTTCAGAAGGAGACTGGGGGAGTTTGGGCATGGGTAGGTAGAACAGCACTGCGTCTTGCAGCAGCAAGTTGGGTCAGCCCAAAAAATCTTACCCTTCTTTTCAAGGGTACTTTGGATCCTGAATTACAAGGGGAAGGAAAATCCTTCATGGATTATACAGAAAAAAAAAAGGAAAAGGAAAAGTATTACTTGAGAGATTGGCTTTGGGGAAAAAACATCTTAAGAAGCATCTTTCCCCTCCTGTCCTCTCCCTCACCCACTGGTCTCCCAATTTAAACAGCTCCCTCCCTGTGTTCATACAATTGTTTAGGGAGCCTTTCTACAGACCAGGTTACTGAAGCAGTTTTAATTAAAAAGAATCCTCCCCTCACCTCCCAACGTTACTCCTCATCCAGATCATTTAATTGAAGCGGTTCATAGGATGCTCTTTCAGTCAACAGTAACAACCAAGGAGGCAGTGAACTTAAGCACGACGACCTAAAGACGGATTTTTTTTTTTAAGTTGGCTCTGCTGTGAAGTCTGTGTGGCAGCCTAACAAGCCGATCATACATCAAAGGTAATGAAAGCTGCTTAGTGGGCAGAAAATACAGGAAAATAAAGGAGGACCTCAGCTAACTCTCAGGAAAAGACAAGGTGGGAAAAGGAAGTGAAAAGAGGCAAATTTATGGTACATTGCAACATTGCCAAAATAATAGACAAGTTTTCAGTCTCAAACACACTGCATATTCATGCGCCTGGAAGAGGATGGTGCAAGACCTCGTAGAAAAATTCCCAATTTCCTCCCAAATATACTGGTCACAGTTAATAACAAGTTCTATGAGACCTCCAAAAATGGTTACAGGCCAAAAAAGAAATCCCATCTGTAGAATTCCTTGAACACTGTTCAACAGTGTAGCTAATTTTTTCAGGCATTTGGCATCCAGTACTGATTGAGTTACAGAAGATACTTTTCAGACCTACCTCACATAAAATAAGTTTAAAAACAGAAAAGCTTCTCCAACTGCTTACCTCTTTTGCACTTTTAATTTTGGCCAAGAAAGTGTACAGTTCCATTGTTTCAGCGAACAGAGCCCGACAGACTGCTTGATAGTGGTTTGGGGCCTCCGATCGGGTGGGCAGATGGGCAGCGCACAGCTGGAGAGAAATATAAGCATTAATATGAGAACAATATCCCATTGATTTAATTAATGCTACAGAACATGAAATAGTGTCAAAGAGAAGCCAGTTGGATATTCAAGTCACCAAAATCCATGAGAAGTATTTAAATTTGGGTAGATGCATTTCCTAATTCTTCTGTTACCTTCTATTTTACAAGTAGCATTCTTTCTATAAACAGTAGGAAGACTTGTTGACATTCAAAGGAATACAACCACTTCCTGAAAATCTCTGAAAACCAAGGCACTGCCTTTTCATTATGTAAGTACCTCACATAATTTTCAAGGGGAGATATAAAACAACCTTGCAGCACCAAATTTTGGAAAAAAAAGTAGGCAATAATTAAATACACTTTAATACTGTAACTGCTGCTTACCTTTATATGAATATGGAAAAGATTTACCAACTCTACCAACTTATGAAAAGATGGAAAGTGTAGTAGGAAAAAAAGTTAAATGCTAGTGAAGTGACAGTTTAATATATCTCAGATGATACAAAGATTTCAAAAACCAGCAAGAGTGTGAAATAATGCAGGCTTATTGCTTTGCTTCAGACATTCACAAACATTTACAGACACAAGCAGGCCCGATTTAAAGAAATACTTTAAGAGAGATCAGTTCATTCATACTAACTGCAAAACACTCTAAAAGTCTATTCAAACCACTAACAATTCTTCATAACTGCTGTTAAAAAATCTGTAATGTGCTAGGAGAATAATTTTGTCCTGAGATATGGAGGATTCACAGGGTATCACAGCCTCATGGCATGGACACAGGCATCTTCCCTGAAACGGGGAGTCAGAGACGGTCCTTGTAGTGTCAACTCAGGGCAAATCTGACCTTAAATCAAACAACCTAACACCCATGTGTCACAATTTTGTATCTCTAAAATGGAATTTTACACAAAATTATGTACTCCTATACCCTGCCTTTTAAGGTCCTGACCACCTGGCATTTGTAACATGACAACTGTCACTTAAGCAAACCTGAGTTTACCTGAATGAGGACTGCACTAAAGTCCAGCCTTGTGTTGGAACAACACACGGGGAGCCCATCTCCTGCAAGGAGAGCCTCCCTGGCCACCTTTGGCCACCTTTGTTTTACATTTCAGATGACAGAGAACCTGAACGGTATATGAGCAACATCTGTCTTTATGAAACTGCACTGTTTTACAAAAATAGCTCAACGGTGACGTAAATAGTTGCAGTATCTTTTTGCTACATGCCCACCATGTCAAACCTATCACCTGCAAGCTTAGGCTCCTCCCTCATCCTTCACAGAAGCCTTTCAGGAAGCAGACAAAGCAATAAGAACTGTAATTAGTTCATTAAGGATTGTCAAATCAGAAAAGCCCAACACACAAACTGAAACACACATATCATTATCATACTGGCATATGTATTAAAATAAAACCTTAAACTCAGCTTCAAAACAAGTTTGTCTTGTTACTGTGTTTTTTTATAATAGCTATTTACTACACAGCTACAACTAAAACCAAATCAAAATGTGAGGAAACAGGTGGCTACATTCAGAAGACTTCCAGAACCAAAGCTTTTGAGATAAAGGCCTCTTTAGGAGAAGAGCCTGGGAAAGGCAGGAAGGACCCAATAGTTTCTCTTGGTTGCAGTCATGTTTAGATTGGCTTGAGCTGGTTGACAAATCGCTTTTTGTGATCTAAACTTAATTGTTACCTTTAATTTCCTCCAATTAGTATAAGAATACAGAGTGCAATGTTCAGATTTGACTAACTTCTTTAATAAATTACCACACTCCCTCTCTGGACTCTTGCAATATCCTGTTCTGGTTATTGCAACCATTGGTCTTGCAGTCTTTTCACTCTGCTGTGCTAACTTGCATCAATCTAAAATCACCTTGCCCTGCCTCTCGTTCTCCCTTTCTGACCTCTGGAAAAGGGGGGTCAGAAAGACAGTCAATGACTTTCAATGACTGTGTCGAGCACAAGACAGTCTATGTCAAAACTGACACAGAGTGACTCAGTTACAAACACGAAATGCAGCACCACTGCCCTTACTTCCAGCCAGTGCTGTGTCCCTTCCCTTCAAAATAAAGAAAAGAAAGAAGACTATAGTTTCCCTATGCCAAGAGTGTAACTTTCTAAATCTAAAAGGTTTTCAGTTTTTTGTGAAGTAATGCAGACAAGTTCATAAAACTGCCTTTGATTCATCACTTTTGAATTTTATACTTCTTTACCATGCCATTCACATTTTTTCACACTCTTCAAATTCATTTCTGTATATTCATAACAACAAAGTCAATAGATTGTATTTATTTATTTTAAGAAGTCATACTCTCTCCTTTACAGGTGAAAGGAGGAAAAAAACGAAGGAGATGGTTGTCTAATGTGTGCTATAGTGACAAGGCACACTGCCAAGACAGACACTTTTCTCTTGACTTAATGAAAAATGTCAGGTTATCCTACATTTAAATGGATCAAATACTGAGCATGCTTCTTTCCCTTAATAACTAATCATGTCTTTACCTGCCTCTCTGTGTTTTCAGCAAGTTATTTCTGGCAATTAATTACGGCAGACATAAAAAGGGTTTCGCTCTACAATGTCACTTGCAGGAATAACAGTGAGTAGAGGAATAAGAGCAACAGCAGTTTCAAAAAGACTCTAAAATGGTGTGAGTCTTCATAGTCAAAAATAAAGTTTTATTATCATTTGGATTGTACACAGGTTTCTAGGCATGGCTTTTTTCTTTATTTAGAAGCATGTTAATTAGAAACAATTTGCATCAAAAACTCAGCAAGTTAATGAAATGCAGCACTGGCAAGTTCAAGCAGGGGATGAATGTAATCTTGATTTTATTATTGAACAGAAAATAAAGAAAAAAAGAAAAAAGATGTCTGCTACTAAGCCTATCAAAAAAGCAACCACATAAAAAGTCAACTATTTGCTTTGTAGAACATTACAATGTAAATACCTAAAGAGGACCAGTAGCTCCTGCTAACTTTCATGTTCTGAAAAAAGAGTCGATCTCCTGTCATGAAGATGCATTAGATACAGAAAACCTTGTGGTAACACACAATTAAGTGATTTAGCATAAATTTTTGGATTGGGGAAGGTAAGCCTGAAGAAAAAGGAAAATGTAAATAAGATAGACTGAGTATTTCCCCCTCATTAGAGTCTATTGTACTTACCTGTTGTTCAGAAAGCCTGGCAATCCACAACCTCTAAATGCAGAAATAATGTAAAATCTGAGCAAGCAAGGGATATCAAATATGAAACATCACACATACCTTGAGTTCAGGATATTAATCCTTAAAAACCAAAATGCTAGTAGTGTTTCAAAAGCTATGTAACTGTAAAATACCACAAAAATCTCACAGTCAGAAGGTTTTAATCATGAAAAGACAGCTGCCTTATCAGTTGAGGTTGGAAGGGACCTCTAGAGGTTATCTAGTCCAGCCCCCCTGCTCCAGCAGGGACACCTAGAGCACGTGGCACAGGGTGGCATCCAGGCGGGTTTGAAAGATCTCCAGAGAAGGAGACTCCACAGCCTCTCTGGGCAGCCTGTGCCATTGCTTCGTCACCCTCACTGTCAAGAAACCTTTCCTTAAGCTCCTGTGGAACTTTCAGTGCTTTGGTTTGTGGCCATTTCCTCTAGTCCTATCACTGGCCACCAGTGAAAAGAGGCCAGCACCATCCTCCTCACTGCCTCCCTTGAGGTACTTATAGACACTGATTAGATCCCCTCTCAGCCTTCTCTTCTCCAGGCTGAACAGGCCCAGCTCTTTCAGTCTTTCCTCATAGGGCAGATGTTCCAGGCCCCTGATCATCCTTGTGGCCCTGCACTGGACTCTCTCCAGCAGCTCCACATCCCTCTTGTACTGTGGAGCCCAGAACTGGACACAACACTCCAGATGTGGCCTCACCAGGGCTGAGTAGAGGGGCAGGATCATCTCCCTTATGAACTCCTCCTCTTACCATGCCATAGCAGTCATGGTGCAAGAGGGATTTAAATCAGATCTCAATCTTTTCCAGCCCCTCAGAGTTCATGGAGAAGCAGCTTCTGCATGCGGTTATTCTACGCTTGCCTTTGCACTCCTCACGATACAATTCAGAGCTCTCCTGAGGGGAACGAACACCAACTGTGCCCAGAGCTTCATACAAGGGCTGCTTGTTCCCTTTCCAGGAAGCCTATCAAAAAGCATGGTTGAAAACAAATTACGTGGTCTTTGCAAAATGGCTGAATATCGAATGTATTATCAACAAACAAAGTTTGAAGTAACTCGATCTGTAAGCTATTCCATTTGCAATCATTGTGTAGTCTTTTTAAAAACTTTTTTTTTTAACCGAGTCTATCCAAAAGCCAGCTTGACCCAAAGCATTCAGTCTTTGCTTAGATCACTAAGAAGATTAGAGACTGTTTCCAATCCACATTCAGGGTCCACACACACAAAAAAAAGGCATTATGTAAATAGTGTAGCCTTGCCAGAGCCTCCCTCCAAATTCATTCCCAATTGACTAGGAAACAGAGTGCATCAAGTCAGAGCAGTGTTAACCAAAATCACAATTTAACAATTGGAGAATAACAAACGCTTCTGGATCTGTCTGAATGTATACCAGGAAGGACTACATCAAATTAAAATAAATACTCACAACTGACTCACCTTCTGAAATTCAGCTAAGTTTTGTAAAACTATTTTTTTTTTTTGCTAAGTTAATACTGGAAAACATCACCAAAGCACCTGGCCTCCTGGAGTTCAGATTTCAAAAGACAGAAAGTGTTTCCACTTGTAGCCACCCTGGCCAGAGTGCCTGCATGAGTGCGCTGCAGAGAATAAAAGGATTTCTTTTTCCCATGGGACACAAAGGGACACTATTGATATTATGCAGAATGTACTCGCAGCCTCTAAATGCCAGGCTTGTTAAATGTTATTAAGGTCTTGGAGTATTAACATACACTTAAAAGTCATACTTTTTTCCTCACCACCAAGAAGAAACTGCTTGCAAA